GGTCACATCGAAACTCAAGGTACAGCCACACCACATTGGTGTGGAAGGTGTGTATGTGCAATACACACCTTTGTGTAACCTGTTTGTTGCATTGCTTTTGCATGTAATTGCATGTCATTAGCAATAGGCATAGTGATAATGGAACATATGTTACTATTACTTCTACCTTCTGTGCAACAAGTGCACTAGCATCATATTATGGTTACAACTTACGCTAGTTGTCATTCGTCTTCAATCCACGAAATCATTTAGTAAGAATCTGTGTCATCAGATCTGAACTTGATCCACATTAAAAGGGGTACGTATGAATTTCACTGCAGGAACAAAATAATAACACGCATAAATTTTGTATTGTTCTTAGAACTTGTCGGATACGAGACTTTATCCTAACGTTATTATTAAAAAACTATGATAATTGTGACACCAAGCTTACGTGGTGCTTCTTCAGCTTGGTTTTGGCTTAGTTAGTGCTGTTATTGTGGACGTAGTATGGCGCATCTTGAAATTCGATTTCGCAGTAGGGGAATAGCGTTTCATCATCCGATGGTGCAAATAGGTGCTTACCGGCGTGTATCATCACGTAGAAACCGGCGCAGGCGCACACCAGAATCACGAGTATTGATGCGCACTTGTCCAAAATCGGCATCGTCTTCCAGGACACACGCATGTAAATAATTACTGGGATCAGCAGGCAACTTGTCGTGTGAGCTGTGGCGCCCGTGAAGTCCTGCAGGTCGATAAAACGCTTTCGAGCCAGCACGGCAACGACTACCAGGATTGCAACGATCACCAGACGCAGTGCAATATAACGCAGCGGATTGTTACGGTACGGTGCACTAAGCTTCGCCTCCGAGATCTCCTCACCAAACTCGAGGGCAACGCGCAGGTGCGACATACGTCCCTCCTCCTTCTCCACTATACTTGCAGCAGACACCTGACGTTTGGCCGCCTCCATTGGCGTCGAACTTTGCATGTATGACTGCTTCTTTAAGATTTCCATGTCGAGATCCACGTTTTCCTGGTCGAGCTCGCCGTTGAAAGCAACGATCTCGGGGCTCCTGTGCATACCGAGAACCAGACGCTCTGCCATGAAAAACGGAGGCATCATTAGCGTCGAGAAAGCGATCGAGATGTGAATCTGCATAAACAGATACGCCATTACCACAGCGCCACGGTCCGCACTGAAGCCAAGTGGGGCGAGGCCAAGCGGATCCGACGTGTTCACAATTGAGTACAAGATGTTACCAGACAACTGGCAGCCAGCAGCCGTATAGCCAGCCAGAGCGATGAAAACGAAAAAAAACGAGATGAACAGAATTGTTATCACCACCACACGCGGCATGCGCTGCGGCTGGGAGTGCTCGCGCTGCAGGTCGGGCACCACAATGGCAGCACCATAAGCTAGAGCCAAATTACCAAAACACGTCAGCACCTGGTGTAATGTCAAATCCGGCGTAGGTATCGAGTCATGGCCGCGCATGTTCCACTGCAGTACAACCACGGTGATTATGTCGGCAATGATCGTACCCATGCAACCAGCGAAAGCCATACCGGCGCCCTCCTTCAGCGTTGGGATCAAGCACATGGGGGCGACCATGATCGCCATGAATATGATCCAGAATACTTGGCTGAATGAATTTGGGAACAGCACATCCAACATCGTGCTGCCCAGCACAAGGAAGGCAATCGGCACCAGGACACACACGCCCATCTGAGAGGCTACTGTGATGAAGCGGCCCCATTTGCCCAAAGCCCATTCACCCAGGTCACCATAGGTTCGCACGGACGACGGCGCCACCAGCATTACCTTGGACAGCTTGAGTGTGGCATACGTGTTAGCAAAGATCATGAATGCCAGAGCGATGGATGCGTAGAACGGACCGGCACGAGCATAGTTGGAAGGCATGGCCAATGAACCGACACCGCACACACAGCAGAAGAGGTTGAAGGACGCCTTTGCGTCTTCTAGTGTGAAGAAGGAATTTTTGCCATTCGGTGACGGCATTGTATAACGGACGAGACGAAGTTGAAGGCTGGTTGAGTTTCCGGGGCGAAAAAATTGCGGTTGCGGACTTATTCAAATGAAGAAAAATTCCAAAGTGACTACTGTAGACAGCGTAAGATTAAAAGATAAAGAGCAATTTGGGTCCACCGCTGCCTTTCTCGCGCAGAGCTTTGCCAGACAGAATCCATGCATTTGACCGCTTTTTTCGAGCTAATATACTGTACATGTATTCTTTCCGCTAGTACTCACCAGTACCGAACACAATTTGGCCGCATCAATGCCCGAGATTAGAAGCAAAAACGTTTTGTGGCTCTTTTATCCGACTCAGCATTTTACGACTCAGTCCCTGCCCCACTATGCAACACGCTGCCGGTGCAGCAGAGCAGGGCAGAGACTAGCTGATCAAGATACGGAGCACACAAGACAAAGCACGGACGCAGTCGTCGAGAGCCTGGTGACCTTCACTCGATAGACACCTGAAGTCACTGCAAGTTTACAGCACATTTGTTCATGCATGGACAAATGTTCATATATTAACATGTATAGAGTCAGAAGATATTTGGCGCTTTGGCTTTGCTAGCTCGCATGACACATTGCTCATTACAGTCACTTATTTGAAGTGACAGGATGCGCTGCACCACTGACCCGAGTTGAAGCGCTACTGCGTGCTCCCATCCTTGTGCAGCAGCTCGTCTGAGTCCAATGCATGATTAGATTTTTTCACCCTTACTGGCCAAAAACATCTGAGCGCAGCGCATGTCTCCATTGGGCCAGTCGAAGGTGAGCTCATGACGAGCAGCGCGTCGTCGAGTATGCAAAATTACCACGCATACAAGTGGAGCAGAAACTAAATCCTTTAGTGACGCGTCGCACGTCACAAGCTTAGAGAGATGACAGCATAAGGTCAAGTTTCTTTCGGGTGACACTCTGCTCGTCATGGGCTCAATCTAATCATCCATTGGACTCAGACGAGCTGCTGCACAGGGATGGGAGCACGCAGTAGCGCTTCAACTCGGGTCAGTGGTGCAGCGCATCCTGTCACTTCAAATAAGTGACTGTAATGAGCAATGTGTCATGCGAGCTAGCAAAGCCAAAGCGCCAAATATCTTCTGACTCTATACATGTTAATATATGAACATTTGTCCATGCATGAACAAATGTGCTGTAAACTTGCAGTGACTTCAGGTGTCTATCGAGTGAAGGTCACCAGGCTCTCGACGACTGCGTCCGTGCTTTGTCTTGTGTGCTCCGTATCTTGATCAGCTAGTCTCTGCCCTGCTCTGCTGCACCGGCAGCGTGTTGCATAGTGGGGCAGGGACTGAGTCGTAAAATGCTGAGTCGGATAAAAGAGCCACAAAACGTTTTTGCTTCTAATCTCGGGCATTGATGCGGCCAAATTGTGTTCGGTACTGGTGAGTACTAGCGGAAAGAATACATGTACAGTATATTAGCTCGAAAAAAGCGGTCAAATGCATGGATTCTGTCTGGCAAAGCTCTGCGCGAGAAAGGCAGCGGTGGACCCAAATTGCTCTTTATCTTTTAATCTTACGCTGTCTACAGTAGTCACTTTGGAATTTTTCTTCATTTGAATAAGTCCGCAACCGCAATTTTTTCGCCCCGGAAACTCAACCAGCCTTCAACTTCGTCTCGTCCGTTATACAATGCCGTCACCGAATGGCAAAAATTCCTTCTTCACACTAGAAGACGCAAAGGCGTCCTTCAACCTCTTCTGCTGTGTGTGCGGTGTCGGTTCATTGGCCATGCCTTCCAACTATGCTCGTGCCGGTCCGTTCTACGCATCCATCGCTCTGGCATTCATGATCTTTGCTAACACGTATGCCACACTCAAGCTGTCCAAGGTAATGCTGGTGGCGCCGTCGTCCGTGCGAACCTATGGTGACCTGGGTGAATGGGCTTTGGGCAAATGGGGCCGCTTCATCACAGTAGCCTCTCAGATGGGCGTGTGTGTCCTGGTGCCGATTGCCTTCCTTGTGCTGGGCAGCACGATGTTGGATGTGCTGTTCCCAAATTCATTCAGCCAAGTATTCTGGATCATATTCATGGCGATCATGGTCGCCCCCATGTGCTTGATCCCAACGCTGAAGGAGGGCGCCGGTATGGCTTTCGCTGGTTGCATGGGTACGATCATTGCCGACATAATCACCGTGGTTGTACTGCAGTGGAACATGCGCGGCCATGACTCGATACCTACGCCGGATTTGACATTACACCAGGTGCTGACGTGTTTTGGTAATTTGGCTCTAGCTTATGGTGCTGCCATTGTGGTGCCCGACCTGCAGCGCGAGCACTCCCAGCCGCAGCGCATGCCGCGTGTGGTGGTGATAACAATTCTGTTCATCTCGTTTTTTTTCGTTTTCATCGCTCTGGCTGGCTATACGGCTGCTGGCTGCCAGTTGTCTGGTAACATCTTGTACTCAATTGTGAACACGTCGGATCCGCTTGGCCTCGCCCCACTTGGCTTCAGTGCGGACCGTGGCGCTGTGGTAATGGCGTATCTGTTTATGCAGATTCACATCTCGATCGCTTTCTCGACGCTAATGATGCCTCCGTTTTTCATGGCAGAGCGTCTGGTTCTCGGTATGCACAGGAGCCCCGAGATCGTTGCTTTCAACGGCGAGCTCGACCAGGAAAACGTGGATCTCGACATGGAAATCTTAAAGAAGCAGTCATACATGCAAAGTTCGACGCCAATGGAGGCGGCCAAACGTCAGGTGTCTGCTGCAAGTATAGTGGAGAAGGAGGAGGGACGTTTGTCGCACCTGCGCGTTGCCCTCGAGTTTGGTGAGGAGATCTCGGAGGCGAAGCTTAGTGCACCGTACCGTAACAATCCGCTGCGTTATATTGCACTGCGTCTGGTGATCGTTGCAATCCTGGTAGTCGTTGCCGTGCTGGCTCGAAAGCGTTTTATCGACCTGCAGGACTTCACGGGCGCCACAGCTCACACGACAAGTTGCCTGCTGATCCCAGTAATTATTTACATGCGTGTGTCCTGGAAGACGATGCCGATTTTGGACAAGTGCGCATCAATACTCGTGATTCTGGTGTGCGCCTGCGCCGGTTTCTACGTGATGATACACGCCGGTAAGCACCTATTTGCACCATCGGATGATGAAACGCTATTCCCCTACTGCGAAATCAAATTTCAAGATGCGCCATACTACGTCCACAATAACAGCACTAACTAAGCCAAAACCAAGCTGAAGAAGCACCACGTAAGCTTGGTGTCACAATTATCATAGTTTTTTAATAATAACGTTAGGATAAAGTCTCGTATCCGACAAGTTCTAAGAACAATACAAAATTTATGCGTGTTATTATTTTGTTCCTGCAGTGAAATTCATACGTACCCCTTTTAATGTGGATCAAGTTCAGATCTGATGACACAGATTCTTACTAAATGATTTCGTGGATTGAAGACGAATGACAATTAGCGTCAGTTACATGACTACAACCGTGCGCAAGTAAATTGTAATAAAAGCACCTGCGTACTGAGACGGTAAGTCAATCAGATCTGTTGTCAACTTAAGGTTTGCACTCAGTATTTGATAACATAAAAGCCAATCGCAGATAGTCAGTCGTGCAGGAAAAGACTAGATTTTTGTCCTCGCAAGATCTAGCTGAAGCTGAAATTTGGCAATCCGTGAGGCCAAGTCATTGATGATGTCTGAACCTTGAGGCTAATGGAAGTGAAAGGAATGTAAATACCACCCACACCGCAGGCGCCTAGTTTCTCAATGAACTTTTTGATGCATAATGTGTCGACAATGGCGTGTAATTTATTGCTCATTTCCTTACATTGTGTTTTTGCGCTGTCTTCAACAACACTTCGAAGTGTACGTCTTAGTAGCGTACGAGCTAACAGTCACCTAGCTGCACACACGACCCGATCTTACCTTAAGACTAAAGATGCAGCCAACGCTTGCTAATGCGCTGCTGCCACTCTGGCTTCCGTTCAATATTTGTTTCAGCCGTAGCTGCTGACCCACATAGACGCTACTGTTGATTATGACATCAAGTTGGGCCACCTTGTCTCGCGTGCTACAAACCGTGTCTAGATTTTACATAGCGACACATTAGCATTCGCTCAATCACCTTTTGCTTTAGAATTCGCTCGCAGTTTCTTACGGTCTATTGATGGCTGGATACCAGGCAGTACACCATAAGGTTGCAATGTGCAAGGAACGCGGAGGCATCCTTTAGCACGATAAAGTGACGACTAAGACTTCTCGTGACGAGGCGCAGCCGAACTGAAAATGATAAAGATGAAAGAATGAGTATACAGGTGCACATGCGTAGATGCCGTTATGGACTACCTGGTCTTTCAAGATATACCGCAGCGGGCAATTTGCATGTCATGTCCCTGTGCGGAGGGTGTTACACATGTTCGCTAATGTTGTGTGCAGTGTTAGTTAAAGTAGCATTAATACAAGCTCTCGCGTCTCGGACAGATGCATAAGGAAATTGTGTTCAATAATGCTTTTTCTAGCCCATTTTTAGACAATGTGAGCAAAAAGCGCAGATGTGTGTTTTATTTCTGACTTCACAGCTTTGTCAGATTCTTTTCAGACCGTATACTGTGAGCAAAAAGCGCAGATGCGTGTTTTATTTCTGTTCACGGCTTTGTCAGATTCTTTTCAGACCGTATACTGTCTGGACCGGCAAACGTCTCGATACTGTTTGAGCTCTTTTTGATCGAAATTTGTTCAAGCACGAGTAAGTACATATAAGGAACAACAGTTGTTGAAGCCCGACCGCTCGATTTTTTTTGTAGCTCGGAGCGTTTCTTGAGCAAGTGTGCCAGTTGCGCTGATACTTGGAGCACAGTCGTAAATACGGGTTCATATCAAGTAAATGTGTGCTGACTGACCTATGCAGCAGTGCAGATCAGATTGGGACGAGAGCATGTCGTGACAGCTGAAGATTGGCGTGCTTTGGAGCGATGCCGGGCGATTATTGCTTAGGAAGCTTCATTCTAGCGTGTACATGTACTTTTTACATATTTGTCAGTTCCTTGGTCTCTGTATTTCGAGTCGTTTCAAGCAAGATACTACAATTCAATCGCGATGTAACTTGCAGGACCAGGCAGTCTTGAAGGCATCTGCGCATGTGCGTCTGCATATTCTGACATCTTAATCACTTTCAATTCGGCTGCGCTCAGCTCGAAACCTACCTGAAAACAGCGGCCGCTGTCCTTGCACATCTACAACAATTATGGCAAAGGTGTCCTTATTCACGCTGGAAGACGCCAAAGCCGCCTTTACTCTCTTCTGTGGCATCTACGGTATTGGAACACTTGGTATGCCAGGCAACTTTTCACGCGCCGGTCCCATTCTCGCCACCGTTGCCATGGCATTCATGGCGCTCGCCAACACGTACTCCTCGGTGGCCATTTGCCGTGTCATGTTACTTGCCCCACGATCCGCCAGAACCTATGGTGATATCGGCGAATGGTGCATGGGCAGGCCGGGCCGCTATATTTCAGTCACTACGCAGATAATCAACTGCCTGATGATCCCATGCATGTTCCTTGTGCTCGGTGGAAGCCTTCTTGACGGTCTCTTCCCGGGCGGTTTTGGCGCGACGACTTGGATTATCCTCATGGCTTTCTCATGCCTACCAGTATGTATGGTACCGACACTAAAAGAAGGAGCTGCCATAGCCTTTGCAGGCTGTATGGCTACGTTAATTGCTGATGTGATCAGCGTCACTGTCGTAATGCATGGCATGCGTGGTCACCCAAGTGTTCCACCGCCTGACATTAATATCAAGCAAGTCGTTGGTACTTTCGGCAATTTGGCTCTCGCGTACGGTGCTGGTATCTTGATCCCTGCGCTGCAGCGTCAGCACAGCAATCCCGAACGTATGCCTCGTGTCGTCGGTGTCACCATGGCTTTCATCTCATGCTGTTTTCTGGTCCTTGCCAGCACCGCCTACTCATCTGTGGGCTGTCAGATTTCGGGTAACTTGCTGTGGTCGATCTATCCTGACTCGGTTACAGGTCTGACCACTCTCGGCTTCGCATCGGATCGAGGCATGGTCGTCCTTGCCTACCTCTTTATGCAGCTTCACATTACGATTGCCTTTTCCGTTGCCCTGAACCCGGCTTTTTACTTCGCTGAACGCATCGTGCTTGGCATGCACAAACCTGCCGTCTTCGACATTGAAAACAACGTGATGGGCTATGCTACTGCTACTACTCCTGCTGACGTCGTTGAACACTCGGAGAAAGAGTCTCGTGTTTCCAAGCGGTCTTCTCTTACTATTACCGCTGATGAGAGTGAACAATTTGGTGATTCCGAGGTCGAAGCTGCTGAATACCGTGGCGCCAACACTTTTAAGTACGTCATTCTACGCATCGTGATTATCTTTATCCTCGTAGTCGCCTCGGTGCTCCTGAAAGATCACTTTCACGACTTGGCTGACTTTGTCGGTTCGTCGTGCATCACATTAAACTCGATCGTCCTACCAATCCTATTTCTTCTGAAAAAAGGTGGTGTATGCTTCCAATGTGGGAGAAGATCTTAGCACTGACTGTGGTCGGAGTATGCTTTTGTCTGGGTTGTTACGTGACGTACACGTCAGGCAAAAACTTGTTTGCTCATGGTGAAGATGACACGTCCTTCCCGTTCTGTGCGGCAGAGTTTGAAAACGTTGTGTATTACAATTACTCGATGGCTCACGACAGCAAAGTACGAGTGTAACAATGCTAAGCTCACTAGAGATTCAAAGAACATTTTATATACTACTCTTTTACGCCCAAGAATCTTGATTCTTGTATCCAAGTCAGATCTGCTTCGCTTACTTACAGTTTTCGTCTTCAACATTACTTTGAACAATAATAAATTTGTACAATAACCGCACGTGGACAAAAGCATTTTATTTCGAACGTTCTTAGCTCGAGTAATATATATCCCTTTTGCGCCATGATCAAATCCCCTGTCTTGACTCATCTAAAGGCCTTGAATCTCGTGCTTGGCCGTATAGTTGTAATACACTGTGTTTTCGAACTCTGGTGCACAGAACGGGAAGGACGTGTCATCTTCACCATAAGCAAACAAGTTTTTGCCTGACGTGTACGTCACGTAACAACCCAGACAAAAGCAGGTCACAACCACAATTAGCGCTGGAATCTTTTCCCAAACCGGCATACTGTTCCATCTCGTCTTCAGCAAAAACACGATGGGTAGAATAATAGAATTAACCGTGATACAAGATGCCCCAGTGAAGTCGACCAAGTCGTGAAAGCGATCTTTCAGGAGCACCGATGCGATTACGAGGCCGGTAATTATAACAAGTCGTAGGATAGTATACTTAATAGTGTTTGTACTGCGATATTCGGCAACCTCCACCTCCAGGTCAGCAAAGTACGTATTTTCGTGATCAGCGACTGAAAGAAAAGACCGCTTGGAAACACGAGACTCTTTCTCCGAGTGTTCAACGACGTCAGCAGGAGTGGTAGCAGTAGCATAGCCCATCAAGTTGTTTTCAATGTCGAAGACGGCAGGTTTGTGCATGCCAAGCACGATGCGCTCGGCAATGTAAAAAGCCGGGTTTAGAATCACAGAGAAGGCGATCGTAATGTGAAGCTGCATAAAGAGGTAGGCAAGGACGACCATGCCTCGATCCGATGCGAAGCCGAGAGTGGTTAGGCCTGTTGCCGGATTAGGGTAGATAGTGTACAAGAGGTTGCCCGAGATTTGGCAGCCGACTGCTGAGTATGTTGTGGTGGCGAGGATCAGAAAAAAGCATGAGATAAATACCATCGTGACCCCCACGACGCGAGGCATACGTTTCGGATTGCTATGCTGACGCTGTAGTGCTGGAATCACAATACCGGCTCCATACGCGAGAGCCAAATTGCCGAAAGCACTAGCTACTTGCTTGAAGTTGAGGTCGGGCTTGGGAATACTTGGGTGACCACGCATGCCGTACATTACAACACCAACGCCAATTACGTCGGTAATGATAGTACCCATACAACCGGCAAAAGCAGAACCAGCCCCATCTTTCAAAGTTGGCACCAGGCACACAGGTATGCACGAAAGTGCCATGAGGATAATCCACGTCGTCGCGCTAAAGGCTTTCGGAAAAAGTCCGTCAAGCAGCGTGCCACCCAGCACAAGGAATGCGCAAGGCACCAGCAGACAGTTGCCCATCTGCGAGACGACTGAAAGATAGCGACCGGGCTTGCCCATGCACCAATCACCAAGATCACCGTACGTTTTTACAGACGTTGGCGCGAGGAGCATGACACGACAGATGGCAACTGCACCATACACATTGGCGAAACCCATAAAAGCCATGGCAACGAGTGCAATTGCCGGACCGGCGCGAGAGAAATTGCCCGGCATACCAAGCGTTCCAATGCCATAAACGCAGCAGAAAAGGCTGAAGGCTGCCTTTGCGTCCTCCGCGGTGACATAAGCTGTGCGTGGCATACTGTAGCAGTCAATTAGTGCCTTGCGTTGTTTAACAGAGTTTAACAGTGGTGGTGGTTGTAAGCTATTGATGAGGAAGTTGTGTCTAATGGTTGAGTTGACCAGAGAATAGCAAATTTGAAAGTGAGTTACATATAGTGGCGCTGGATGAAGAGATTTTGTACGTTGGATTGAAGAGATTGTGTGTAAATTGGAGACAGGCACCGAGTGTCACTTTTTTGATTGAGCCTAAAGGAAAAAGAACTGAAAAATGAAGTCAACATCCAGGTAATTCGAGCAAAATTAGAATTGTAACAGCCTCCAGGTATGGGACAGTGGCTTTCGTCATGACAAACCAAGCAGCGATTATTTGTGGTGAACAATGTAACGTCCTTTATCTTCTCAGCAATAGCTACTGCCCCGCCTGACTTCAACGTCAACGTCCACATCAACATCATCTGAACGATCTTTATACACGGTCCTGGTATGGATCAAACCATTCAGCCAACAAACCAAAAAGACTGCAACATGAATATCAATAACACTTTATTATATCAGGAAACACTTCAGTCCCGCAGTCGTTCTGCAATCCATCCAACTCCAAACAACAACATCGTCGAACCTCATTGTAAGTCAAATGCTGCCACTTCGTGTCAAGTGGACTGTCATTTCTTCAACTGTCTTCTCGCACAACGGCTTCAAGTTGTCGCTGTTCAAATATCTTCAATCAGCTCATTTAGCTGCCTTGTCATCAAATCGTGCCCAAACCAAATGAGCTAGTGTGTATTAATTACTTCGCACGTACTGAGATCACAGTAGTCAGCATCTTGCCAACATCATTTTTTTCGTAGAGCTACATAAACATGCTTAAAATTGGCACCGAAATTGGCTTCGGCTTGGTATCATCGACTTCGTTAGTGCCGGTGATGCCTCGATTGTTCTTTTGGGGGGGGGCCTTCCTTTTGGGAGCACCCTTTTTGATTGTTAAAGCATATTATTTTTAGAAAACAAGAGGACCCCTTCGAAGCCCCCCTAGGTAATCCCCACCATAGTGAGATATGTCTCCTCTCTTTTTTTTTTTCCCCCCTCTTTTTTGTGTTTTTGTGTCTCTCTCTCCTTTTTTTTTTTTTTTTTTTTTTACCAATCAGTTAAATGGAGACTTAAAGTGTTTTATCAATATTCCACTCTATATGTCATTCGAGTCTTGTTTGTCATTGTGCAATTTATTCGCATCTTTTTTTAAAAATCTCGACAAAGAAGAATCAAGCATTAATATGCATCGGCTGTTTCGTGAAATAAAGGCTAAAGCAAGTCGACTACAACTTTGGTTAACCTCATTAGTAGAGGTAGCCTATAAGCTAGCAAAGTACAATGCCCAAAGAGATTAATAAGGATAACCAATTCTGTGCATGCAGTAAGTAACACATGGCGATACTTAATCTCTGCTGAAGAATGACTGCTTAGTGTATTTTTTTCAATTGCCATAAGATTGGATTGTTGGTCTCAGCCACGTCACATATACACTGACAAGAGAACAAAAGAATACTCAAAGTGATTGGAAGCTGTCAGGGTATTGCTAGTTTCAGTTTTGTTAGAATAATTCTTAACATCACCAACAAATGCGCCTTGCAAGCCTCAAAGGATTGAGATGCGCCATGGCTGGTCACTAGCACATGGAAATCGCAGAAGCTTAGAAGCCTGAATTTACCTAGAAGCTCGATCGGATACGAGCTGCTTGCGATAATTAGCACCTATATTAGTAGGCAGAAAATTCCCATTTACCAGCGAGAATGACACAGTTTTAAATTGCGGTTGCTCCAGGCTTTATTGCGCATTACCACAGCCGGCTATGCAGCAACATATTTTGGATAGTATGGTGGTGTCCGCAACGCCGTGTGTCACCTACAGGGCACCGGAACGACTTTTCTGCGTCCATTGCGTCGGCTTGAAGCTTTCGTACGCAGCGTAGCATTACTGACGAATAGCGCTTACAGAGCCAGGGTCAAGCGTGAGCAAAGCAGAAGAAGCTGCTGAGTAAGTCCAAACTAAATGCAGTTAGGACAGCGTTTTTGATGTTGTTTGCACGACGTGAAACAGAGCCTACCCCACTCATTTTAATTCGTACGTGTATGAACCAAGCTCGTACAGTCATTTACACGGCATCAAAATTCTCCGCGAAATCTTATCTTAGGCGCAAAGACAACGTGTTATAATCTTTCCTTTAGGCCTTCTTGCTTACTCCAAAAAGGTCGTGCTCATAGTCACTATCGTGATAGGCGTCGTCAGCAGTAGTAATCTTTGTAGCCGTCACCCCAGCCTCAATTGAATCCACGTTACACGCGCTGTACTTCTGGTAGCCCTGCGCACCGTCTAAACTTGAGGATTGCGCACAAAATGCTGGTCCACTGGTTAGCGCTGTACGAGCTCCTGCTTGAGGAAAATTGATAGCTTTGTAAGGAGTTGGCAGCGAAGATGCTACCCCGACTTCAGTTCCAGCGGCAAAAGGATCTAATAAAGCAGCAGAGAGCGGAACAAATGTCTGCGTTCGATCCAAAGCTGCGCTTGAAGCACATGCTGACGTAGACAGTGGTGAAGATGCTCGTGTGGTATTCAAAAGTCCATTATTTGGCTGAGCCCGTTGCTGCCTCAATGACGGTGACTTCGTCGGACTGATCACAGAGGAATCGTATCCACAGGACCCTGACGTATTCGGCAAAACAAACGGGTTGTGCGCCATCTCGCAATGAGAATCGTATAAATAGTTTATGTCCAACATCGGCTTCGCATAAAGTGTTTTCTTCAACGAGGCATGCGTGTCTGGTGATTCCAAATAACTGGAGACTGTCTGAGCTGACAACGGCGGCGATGGAAACAATTCGTTGTATTCCGTAATTGACGCGCTATTTGTACTTTGCCGTCCGTTATATGTCGCACTCACCGCATGACTACCGTTTTCGCTACCAGGCGCATACTGGCGTCGCGCTGCAAGTTGAGCAGACGACTTGAATGCAGCATACTTTGGAATAGAGTCTATCTCCAGACACTCATATTCGCCCATACTCACAGGACTTAATGGACCCTCCGTAATGTCTTTGTCGGAATGCGGATATCGTGGCAGTGCATCCATATCAGCTAATGTAGTATCCGAAAGGCTTTGAGCACTAGAGGTGACAGAAGCGCCAGCACTGCTTACGCCTTTGGCGCACGTGTCATTAGAATCTCGATACGAATCTGCAAATGGGTTCATGGCTTCGTTGTCGGTATCAAAGCCTTGAGACGTTGACGTCTGTTTGATACTGGTGGATGCCGCTGACATGTTGCAGTTGTTGCTGCCGAGTATCTCTGAAAGCGCCCCAGAAATCTCCATGCCTAAAGCTGACATCTCGGAGCTAAATTTTGCAGCCTTTGTCAGCCGTTTCCGAGCAATCGGAGGCTTAACATCCGAGGTTGAAACCGCTCCTCCCGCTTTGCGATTCATAGGTGCATTCTTCAGCGTAACGGTTGCTGCCAAAGTCTGCAGATAAGCAACTAACTCGTCATGACAGCCGTCGGCACCCACTTCTCCTCTCACAGCGTACTCTGTCAACAACGTATTGGCTAAAAGTACTAGCTCGCTGACCTGGTTCAAGCGCTTCTCCATCTTGCTATTCCAATCGCCCATTCCTACGACCCAGCGGCCTGCATCGGCGACATACGCGACACTAGATCTGTAAAAGTAAATAGGACAAAAACATAAACATGGTTATGACGAATTTGCGCAAAACGAGGCGACATGGGACGCACTCGAGCTCGTCGCGAATCTCATCCCGGTACTCGTAGCAGCGCTGGAACAGAAGATTTGCTGTATCCGTTACGCCTAGTTTATCATTGATAGAAAAATGTCAATGTGAGTTGCGAGAAAGTTGTCTAACGTACAGACAAAAGCTGCTGTAAACACACAAACGGGTAAATTTGATCCCATGCGCTGAAAAAACTTCTCATAATAAACTACCTGTCAATAAAGGAAGAAACAAGATTAAGTCTTTCGTAATGCTTTACCATGAGTGTGTGTTTGTGTGTTGTAGCTGATGTTGTAGCTGTAATAAAAAGCTCTTACTTTCTTCATAAATGTAGCCAAATACTCTTCCACTCGTGCGATGGCTGTCATGGATTTGCTAATATTTGAAATGGACTGGCCCATGCTAAAGATCGATGTCATAGTGTTCTAGTAACAATTTGGTAGACAAATGAAAGAAGTATAAAATACAGGGTGGTGGTAGATGTTAGTTGTTAACAAGGACACGGTTCTTAAAGAGGAGTGACCGAGCTTAGTTTTTTGTTCATACACGTTTCAACGGTATAACTTTCGGTACTACCGGTATAACCACAGTAGTTACAATATCCGTCAATCTTTTGTTGCCAAAGTTAAACAATACCTCTTAAGACTTCATTGTAGCGAAGGTGTGTATGTTTCATGCCCACCTGCCACACCATTTTGGTGTAACTTTACTTGAATACATTGGGGGTTCACATCATGCATAGCATTCATTATTAATATATACGCATATGTATCAATAATACTTAACCAAGTACTGACCACAGAACCAGAAAAATAGTGTGTACCAATACATGTTTCTATAGTATTGCTAGTAGACAAACATTAGATTAATCAGTTTTAAACCTGTTCTGTAAAACAATTGTTGTTAAAGCCTTAGTCATTGTGTAAAGGAATGAGTGTCTGTTGATACTGGTCTCATAGTGATGTCATTGTTTACATCCAAAAGGCACAAGCTTACAAAGCTAGCCTTGGGAGGGTTAAGGACCCTAAGACATAATAATCCTGAGAATGTCTTCCTCCGCACATAGGTATCTTTACAACGGTAGATCTGATACACCTGGTAGCACTTAAAATCAACTTCGCACCTGGCCTGTGACTACTTCTCTGTGTGAGAATGGACATCGATGAGATCTCATCGGTTGGCCTGTCACAGGCACAACAGGAAGGGTTGCAGAAGCTGCTCCCTATCCTTGACCCTAAGGTCGTGGAGTACCTCATTGCCCAAGGCGAGGAAGAGGTTAACAAGCGTATTCACATGCTTGAGAGTATAATAAAGCTCTAGTCGAGTATGTAGTGCACAGATGCCTTCTTCTGCGCCTACGCCCATGGCGACTATGGCGCAAGAAGTGGTCCGCAGACCAAAACCCATACCAATAAAAGTCGATAAGTTCGACGGCAAAGAAGGTGATAACCTTATGCTTTGGTTCCGACAGGTTGAATCGGCTATGTTTATAGCCGATATCACCTATGAACCGTACCGTGTGGACTTTGCCACGGGTAATTTATGTGGATTAGCAAACCAATGGGCGCTCACATGATGTGTAGAACGGAAGTCTTCCAGGTAAACCCGTCCTCATTCGAGGCAACTGGTGGATTGGCACGGAATGCCGTAACCAACTCCATGGCCGCTAGGCCAGCCACTTATAACTACTCGTCTAATGAGTCTGTTCACATGGACTGTAGTCAAGTGGAGGATGAAGAACCTGAGCTTCAAGCTGCGGAGCAGCAAATTGTGCGCAGATGCTATATCTGCAAGAGCACAGGCCATTTGATGGCAAAATGCTTTGCAAGAGAGGCATATTTGGCCTCAAAGAGCCAACGTTCCATGGGTAAACGGCAGAACTCAGTAGGCGCGGGGCGCCATACTGGGGAAGAACTGAGTTCTGTTGAGCCTCTAGGAGGTAGAAGTAAACGGGCTAAGCCTTAAAGAGACCCGAACTCTCAAAACGAAACGAAAATGCAAGCCAGACTTGCTGGTAGTCAAAGGGACGATTAAGGGTTTGATAATTCGTGGCTCAAATTTATTGATAGGGCAGGAACGCGTCGTGAGCTGTCAATCTTGGCAGCTGAAACATGCCGACCAAACTGTCTCATTTATGACAAAAAGTTTCTTGCAATGCGCTATGCACTCTGAATTTGCGTCTTTACGCTTGATGAGCAGACATTCGCCATATACATAAGTAGAAAAGATGAGATCGCGGGTGTGATACAATTATTGTGTTTGGACCACACACTGGCCGCGGTCCAGACCGGATCACGGGACATGGATCATTATGTGGATACCCATTGCTGCGTAAGCCGTTAACCCTTGTGGATCGTTAGAATCGATATCCCTATAAGGACCACCCACTGGCCGCGATCCAGACCGGATCACGGGACATGGATCATTATGTGGATACCCATTGCTGCGTAAGCCTTTAACCCTTGTGGATCGTTAGAATCGATATCCCTATAAGGACCACCCACTGGCCGCGATCCAGACCGGATCACGGGACATGGATCATTATGTGGATACCCATTGCTGCGTAAGCCGTTAACCCTTGTGGATCGTTAGAATCGATATCCCTATGTGGACCACCCACTGACCGCGATCCAGATACCGAACACGATTTAGATCGATGTGTAGATCGCTATCACTTGTGGATCACACCCGGACCCCGACCCAGATTTGGATCGCGACATTGATCGATGTGGAGATCGCTATTACTTGTGGATCGCTATCCTATGTGGACTGCTATCACTTTTGGATTGCTATCACTTGTGGATTGCTATCACTTGTGGATTGCTATCACTTGTGGATTGCTATCACTTGTGGATTGCTATCACTTGTGGATTGCTATCACTTGTGGATTGCTATCACTTGTGGATTGCTATCACTTGTGGATCCCGATCACTATGTAGGAAGACTAGTTCCAAGAGCCGTACTTTTAGAGCTCTTAACATTTTAAGGCTAGCTTTAAAAGCTTGTGTCTTTTGTTTATACAATTATCACGTCTCCAAGAGACCAGAATCAGAGATACAACTTCTTTTACACAAGGCCTAAGGCTCTAGCAATAAATACTATACAGAGCAGGTTTAAAGCTCATTGTACCTTAGGTTTGGTCACATCAATCCATCAATGTACCAACCACCACAATGATGTGGCAGGTATGTATGTAAAATACACACCTTTGTGTACCCCCCCCGTTACATCTACTATTACGCCAGAGCTTCATAGCACGGCGACCCCAGAGCCGTCACCGCACGTCAGCGTATGCGTTATACCAAAGCTTCAACCAAACTTCATAAGATTAAGTAATAAGCTGGGATACCATGCAGCTTTGTTTGAATCTGATTGTTTGTAGCACTCACACTATCTAGTTAGTGTCGCCACTGCCGCAACGAACATCAGGCATTCAGCATTTACTTCTTGCTTTTGGTATTGGAGTCACGAGTAATGGCATCAAAGTCGTTTGACTTTTTCTTAATTCAAGAGCTAACATATGAAACTTGCGAGCATTCGAGACCATTTTTCCTCCATCAAATCAAATGATCTCGCCATTGAGCTAGCTGCGTAGTCGCTCATCACGTAGGTTTCTAAAATGGCCAGCTCCTCTACTTCAAAAAAGCGCTTCAGTAGATTGTTTTGTAGGATGGCCTTTTCAAATGCTCCCGACGAATTAAATCGGCCAAACGCGCTTTTGGTCTTGATCATACAGGACTGCCGTGGTTGGAGGCACTGATGGTACGAGTTGAGGAAGTTGGATACGTACGCGAAATGCCTTGACCGTCCCTGTGTTGCGATGCTTTAACTCTCTGGCGTGGCGGTGCGCGCTGCTATCTTTCTGTTCTACGTGTATCAGATCCAGGCGACACAAAGAAACCGTTTTACCTATTTTTTGTCTGAAGGCACTAAGATACTGGCGCTGATACCTATTTTTTGTGTGCAAAGGCTGCTGAAGGGAAACTTTGACCTAAGAACCTGCACTCGGCGTACAAGTATCGTGCGCACCTTAACGGTAGGAAAGCATTGAGCAAATTTATTTTTGCTGCAGGTGTGTTCACCAAACTTCTGTATATTTGGTTGTGTAGCCCGCGTCAGACCACGAGAGACATCTCGACGACATACGGCTTGGGCGACAAGGTGATAATGCAATCATAAAAAAGTAAAATGCGCGTCCCATTCAAACTGTCATTGATTCAGTTGCATACATTCCTATCTTTGTTGTAATGGCGTACACTGCTCGTGATATGGTGCGCTACGGACATATTGCAGGGCGTGGCTCTAGCATGAACGAATCTCCGATCGCTCCAGCGGTTTTGCTGGAGCATACCGACTTCCCTCATCTTACTATTGTGGAATGACAGGCAATACACCGCCTTGCGGCGGTGTTTGAAAAATCTTCGTAGCGTTGCTGCTGCGCACAGCGACGTCCGAACAACACCTTGCCGCCATCCAAGACTACATGGTGCGCGAGCTCGCTGAAATACTCTTCGGGTACAGACTCCCTTGCGCACCTCCCATCATGGTACGATCAAATTGGAGACGTCCACGTACTCGGGTGATGGACCAGATCGTCTATTCCTTACCCATTGGTTTCGGGAGATCGATGTCGCAATCGCGTAAAGGTTGATTGACGCTCCGGTGGCTAAGGTTTATTCTCTGCTATCACGGCTTGTCGGCAAAACCAAAACGTAAGCCCTCGGGAAACTCATCGTCGACAAGTTGGCGTTCTCCACGTTGGCCGAGATCCAGCGCGACTTGCGACTGGCGTTCGAACCTCCTCAAGATGAGTCACGCTTGCGTGCAGACTTCTTTGGACTTCGACAAGGCAAGCTATCGATGCGTGACTTCGTGTAGAGGACAAGACATCTCGTGTCGTGTCCTACCACACAATTGATCGACATGGCCTCACAAGTCCATGTCTTTGTCTTTGGTATGGATGGCATGACGCGTTATGCCTCACGCGTGCCGAACCGACGACTCTCGAATAGGCTTTTTCCCTCGCTCTTCGTAAAGATTACACGGTCGCGTCGTCATACTTGAACGCAGCGTCGCAACTTCCGCGTATGTCTGGCCCAGAGTCCATAAAATTTGATGCGATTGAGGCATCACGTGTTCGCGACAATCAACTGGCCGCAACGTTCGCAGTCAACACACGATGAAGTGTTTTTGGTGCGTCAAGACAGGTCATCGTGCGGATGTCTGCCAAACACCAGCACCGATGTCCAGGAATACAGCTTTATCACGTGGACCGTCGGTGGTCCCGCCGAAAAACGAACGGTTCCAGTAGGCTCAGGACGCTCTACTGGCAGGAAGGGAGCACCGAGTACCCCGGTAGCAGCTTGGAATCCCAGCACCAAAGCGATTCATGCTCACTTCACACTACCACCACGCGTGACGACTTGAGACTGATCATCATCGGTCTCATCGTCACTGTAGTGAAGCGACCACTCCGAGCGTTGTTGGATTTGAATGCATCCAACAACTTCTTTCGAGCATCGTGTTTGTCACTTTCTTTCGTCTATGACTACGGTTCGAGAAGGTCCACGTGCCGTCGTTGTCAAACTTGCTGATGGAAGATTGCAGCTTTTTCCGCGCAAAACAGTGCTTTTGCCGTATACGTTTGACGGTTTTCAAAGCAATGGTGAATTGATGGTGCACAAGATGAGCTACGCATTTTTTTGATTGCATCTTGGGGATGCCGTGGCTGTCACAATATCAGCCGACGATAGATTGGTTATCTCTATCCGTTGAACGACGAAGTGGATACGACGTGAGTGAAGTGCTCACTCATTTGTTGGTTGAGTCATCTGATTGGTCCCATGTCAAGGTTGTGGACGAACTCACCACGAGTAGAATTCAGCTCAGAGAGGGCGATGGCCCTCTGTGTCCGGTATGTTCAGTCAAAATGATACAACCACGACACGAGGCGGTCGAACAGAGATTAACGCGAACTCAGACATCGGTCGTGCAGAGGATCCCGATTCATAACGAGGCAATCGAACCAAGTTTCCCGCATACACAGACATCGGTGAAACAGTGGTTTTCGATTCCAACCGAGGCGGCCAAGCGAAGAATCCCGTACACTACATCTGAGGCGGTCAACGACGATTTCCCGCCTCTTATTGACGAGAATGCGCGGACTATGGGTCCGTCTGTGAACGAAATGGTAGTGACTGAGCCACCGCTTCTCGCGGAGGGTATGTCATCCTCCAGCGTCAGCGACGTACCAGTCTCGAGAATTGGATCGCGACGTAAGAAAAGGCGTAAATAAAAGAATGAAACACGCCTATCGCCGAGACGACGGCATTCTCGTCAGCATGTTGACGACGTTGATTCCGTAGTGACGAAATCCATATGAGCACTTAAATATGTGGAAGGTTCTCCACATCGCGACATTGATGTAGCGAGCCCTCCGTGCACTGTTGCTGAAATCACATCCCTATCAGCCCTACCATGGAAAGATTTTATCCGTGCCCTCAATGCCGGCGACATCAAGCAAATTTGTATCGTACCTATTGCCGTCTCAATTACAGAAGAAATTTTGTAGACTTGCCCAAAAAGCGCCGAACCTGAATCAGCGCGCGAAGCACGTTTCGCCACACAGTCCTGGGAAGCCCTTCGTGCTTTAGGCAACCTTGCCTACAATATCGCTCGCGAGTATGCCGGCATCTTTCCGGAGACAATTCCCGCTGAGCTTCCAGCTGATCGTGGAGGCGGCACGATATTGACCTCGTGCCTGGATCGAACAATTTCGTAAAGCGGCAGTGGCCGTTACGTCGTGATCAAGTCATCAAAATAGATTTTTTTAGGACCGCCGTAAAGCAGGCCATGTTCGGGGAATTTTCTCCCCACATTCAAGCCCTACTTTCTGTGTGAAGAAAGCCACCGGCGGTTGGCACATTGTGCATGCTTTTAACAAGTTCAATGAATCCCCAAATTGCGTTATCTTGTGTGCTTTTCCCATATGCAAGAATAAAACAATTTGAACGCTCGGCACGTACCAGATTTGAACCTGGCAAGCGTCCTAATTTAGCACTTGCTCGACCTTCTCCGGAAACATCCCAGAGTGAAAGCAACTATACACTGCATCAAGTAGAGGGCAGCAGTGAAAAAGCAAGTATGCACTGCATGAAGCAGAGGTCAGTAGAAAAAAAAGAAATATGCACTGCATCAAGCAGAGGGCAGCAGTTAGAAAGCAATTATACACTGCATCAAGTAGAGGGCAGCAGGAAAAGACATTGTATTGGATACCATGTCTAGTATGATATCTTCAGTGCCATCGACCTGACAGACGGGTTGTGTCAGATCCTAATGAGAGACAGTGATATTCCACTAACTGCGGCCAGCTCTGAGTGGAATGCTATGGGAGTGGCTAGTAATGCCGTTAGACCTTAATAACTCTCCAGCTACGCTCAACCGGATGGTGACACAATTACTCCGCCCGCTACACGATTTTGCACCAAGCTACTTCGGCGACATTTTTTTTTTCGTACACAGTAAGACTGAGCAACAGCTCAGCGCCACAGACATTCACATTCGGCACTTAAAAAAGTGTTTCAAGTGATTCGTGAGAACAAAACATATGCCAAAATGTGAAGAAGTATGTCTTCTGTGTCCTCGAGATTCCAGTACTCGGTTTTTATGTCAGCAAGGAAGGTGTCCGCGCTGACATCTAGAAAGTGTCATCGATATGTTCATGGCCTACGCCTAGGAACCAAATTGAATTGCGACAATGGCTCGGCCTAGCTAATTACTTACATAAGTATACGAAGAATTACGCCAAGTTAATTCAACCATTACTTACTTTGTTGCAGAAAGACGCAGTTTGGTTATAGGACGCAGAACATCAAATTGCCTTCGACTCCATAAAAAAGAGCTTGTCTGAGGCACCAGTGCTAATGCTGCCTGATGCCTCCAAGCCATTTAACGTTATTTGTGACGCGAGCAACTTTGCGATTGGGTGTGCCCTCATGCAATGTGACGATGAGGGCCGAGAGCGCGTCGTGAGTTTACAGTTAAGACGGATGAAACCTGCCGACAGAAACTATCCGGTTTACGATAAAGAACTTTTGGCTATGCGTTATGTGCTGATCAAGTTCAGGGCATTTTTACTTGGCGAGTAGATGCTTCCAGTATATACAGATCACGCATCACTGCGTACCGCCGTCAAGACCCCTCACTTGTCTCAGCATATGACTCGTTGCTTGTCTTTTTCTCATAGTATAATTTCGTTGTAGTTTACAGGCCCGGCAAGAATAACATCCTTGCTGACGCGCTTTCTCGGCGACCCGATTACAATCCTTGACGCGACATGGGCCGTCAGCCAGGTAGTGCTGATGACGAAGACTATGACATTTGTTTGTGCTGTATTGAGCTGGGGCTCAACGCAATGGCCTCGACACCTGTGCTATCGATATCGGTCTCAAATCGCTGAGTCTTGCGAATTATTCCTTTACTCAGGCCTTATCAACTATCTTCGACACCCTAGTGAAGTGGTCACTCGCGAAGCTGACGAAACCATCGCGTGACAACATCAAGCATTACGCGCTTGATAGTCCGCTACTGACGTGCACGATGGACGTCTTTGACCCACCGCGCGTAGTCCTCCCTGCTGATTATGACCTTTGAGCACGATTGGTGCATATATTTCATGACACCCCAGCTGGTGGTCATGTGGGTCGCGAAAAGACGTTTGCGACCATTTCTCGAGTATTTTTTATGGCCACGCATGTACAAATACATATAGAAATGGGTGCGTTTCTGTAAAATATGCCAGCGTGTAAAGTCTACGTTATCTTCACAAGTTCCATACTACCGCTTCCGATTTCTACGGAAGCCTGGCGTTCATTCAGTATGAACTTCACCTTTGTTCTTCCACCGGACGAGAAGAACCGCACAGGCGTCTTGGTTCTTGTAGATCGATTTAGCAAAATGGTGCACTTTGCTCCAGTCTCCGCGCACATTACGGTGGAGACAACCGCGAAGATCTTGATTGATCTTATATTCAGGCACCAAGGGCTTGCCAGAATCCATCGCCTCAGACCGTGATACGCGCTTTACTTCGGCTTTTTGGGCATAGCTGTTTCAATGGGTTGACCCATAACGCAGCAGCGGCGACTGTTCAGAGCCAAAGTTGACTACATCGAGTATGCCCGTTTTGCCGGCATTCCTTTTGGTTTAGGGCAGGGCTACTCGAATAAATAGTGTACAAACGCCGAAGCTTTGTTGGTATTGCAATTTTTCTCCGCAATCTTGCAGCAATTTCGTGCTTTGGAGTGTTAAAGCAAAATTTGCAGTGTTTTTTAATCTTGCAGATACTGCTTCCGGCAGTGCGGAAGCTTTCTCAAAGCCATTAAACCCTCCTCCTCCTTGCCCCCCCTTTCCGCCCTCCTACTCGCCTCCCCACCTCCCTATACTGGGCAGGCGTTTGCTTATGTCTACGGCATTCCATCCAGAAAAGGATGGGTAAACGGAGTGCGTCGATCGTGTACTTGAAGATGTACTGCGCAGCTATGCGACATCGTTGATGTCGTGGAGCTCATTCCTTCCACTCGCGCGAATTTGCAATCAGCAATGCGTCAACAGGATAGACGCCATTTTTCGTGAACAACGTGAGGCACTTGCGTTTCAGCGCTTCTTGGTTCCTCAGCTTCACCACACGGTTTCTACGCTTGGTGGGGGAGCATTCGCCGATAGCATTGCGCCGGATAATTTGATGATTGTTTATGTTGACGATAAGTATGCTACCGATGCGTCTCATGCCGCTAATTTCGTGACCAACGGCATATCAAGTCCTGACGCGATGCATCCCATCGCGCCTCTCGTAGCTTATATTGCTCCTAACGAGTCCGCTTTACCTGTTAGCCCGGCTGCTGTAACCGAGTTTTTATTACTACGACAAGGCATCACGCGTTTTGTACGTGATGACCTTCAAAAAGTCGTCGACAAACAAAAGGAGAACGCGGACAAGCGAGGATGGAAAGATATGTTAACGTTTAACGAAGGTGATAAGTCCTGTTATCGACAAGTGGCCTGCCAGACACATCAGTGACGAATTTGGGCGCCACAAAATTAGCGTCAATATATATAGGTCTTTTCCGGGTTATCTAGGACCATGGAGATGCCTACACGCTAGACATACCCGGATGTCCAAAAGTGTACCTCCCGGCTGATCTCCTCTTAAACCTTCCCCACTCTTCTGTGTCGGCCGAAATGTGACATACCCTGTCGACGACGCTGACGACGACTGGGACCAAGTCCTGCTCGAGCGCGAGCAGACTCGTTCTGCTGGGGCCCTTCAAATGTGGCAGTCTCGAGTTGGCAAAGACGCTCGACCAACACCTGCTGCTCTCCTCGAGTCCTCTCAGCAGCCTCAGCTGCAGCCGCCACACGATCTTGAGCACTCTCGACCATCTCACAAGCATCCAGCAAGCCATTTTCGCCTCCTCAGTCTCATCACGAAGCATCCGCAGCTCGTCTTTCGTTCGCACAGGCTTCCGATTATGTGAATCGACGCTCACCGCAAGAGGCCTTTCCTCGCGACGCTCCTCCTCCCTTACTTGATGCATTGGGTGTGCAACGCTGGATTTTGTACTGTGTATTGTTGATCATGAAGGCCCCTCCCACCATACCCCGAGTAGCGACTCGGTGCCGTCGAAGAGTCGAACCGAGACGCACTATAAGGTCCGTTGGTTATGTTACTTACCAAAGAACGACACGTGGGAGCCTCGAAGTACATCGGTTCGCGATGTTCCTGACGTTGTCGAGGAGTATGAATCCAGTAAGAGGAGGGTGACCGTGACCGACGCTGTCGACTAACCTTACGATCCCGCACGCCGTGACGCTCGCGATCTGGTGGCCAACGACGATATCCAGAGCGACTTCGAAGTCTACCATGAGGCTCGGGAGTACTTGAATACCATGGAGGTTGAGAGCGGCTGCGTTAACGACCACGTGAATGTCCACGATGGCGTACATTAATCGTCGCGACCGCGTGAGCGTCTCCGCTGGTCGACAGGACGCTCTATCTCGCGACGCAGCGTCGATACTTGGAGCTCTAATAGACTTCTATAATAGCGTCCAATCCATGGCCGAAGGTGTTGGGCCCGTGCACACACTAGACTTTCCATTCCTGTTAAATTGGACGTGACCTCTTCACGTAGCACGAAGGACAACCTTCACGGACATGGAAATAACTCATGTGGAACTCGTCACGAGTCAGAAGACATACTTGCTGACTCAAACCGCCAATAGCGTGCACAGCGCTAGTGTCCTCTCACCTCTCGATCCAGGATGTGAAGGATGTTCCCTCACGTCGGCTTGCGTTCCAGTTTTTGATGAAGGCACACCAAGATCGTTGTAGCGCGTCGTCAGTGTATGCATGATTCGTCGATTTGCCTCGCACGGTGCGATACCGTGTGAAGAGGTTTTTCATCATCTTAAGCGGTTCAGGCTCGTCAGCTCCTTCAAGGCTGTCTGTACAAGCCCCACGGTTCCAAAACTTTATTCATGACTCGCGGCGTTCATTCCGTTCGGGTCTGTGCCTGATATGCCGATCGTAATTTAGCATCTCGACGCGTGAGTGCTCGGGGTTCATGCTGCTTAACTGTGTACAACTAAGCAGATTTAAAGACCAAGACGACAGACCGTAAGACTACACGTTAAGCTTCTCGTGTGAATTTTTGTTGAGAACAAATTTCTGTGTGTTGCGCTTGCGTTGAGGTAAGCGTAACTTGAAGAGGGGGGTGATGTAATGGGGCAACCCATTATATTAAGTAGTTATGGGTTTTATTTCATAATTACATAGGTAGGTACATGCAGTACAGGTGCTGGCAACGACTGCGGTCAATAAGTCTGTCATCATGTCTTCGGACTTGATAACTCGGCTGTTTGACACCTTCTTGAACGTTATGACGAATAAACTTGAGTTGTATGTCCACATGCTTTGCGCTTATATAGTCTTCTCGGACTATAATTGCTTAAACGCGGCTTATTTATCTACCCACTTTGACATGGATTCACGCGCGTGTAGTCCAGTCTGTGAAGCAGAAATAAATTTTGCCTTCATTGTGCTCTCAGACACCTGACTGCTCCTTGCACAGCCACACCACCACAGCAGTATACATAGTGATAACGCATCCTGACACAGACTTACGATCAGTCCTATCAGCGTCAAAATCAGCGTCGCTCCAACATTCAAGTCGAATGTCATCCGTTGTAGGATCCACACCATTTAGGTATAACTTCAGCGTTTTCGACATCTCTAAATATCGCGCGATATGCTTGGCCATCGTTTAATCCGGTATTGCCGGCTTGTGCGCCTATCTTGTTGCCTGGGTACCGAGAGAAAAATGTTCGGTCGCGTGCGCCTTACAATTCATAGTAATCTTCCCACCAGCGACTGATTGGACTGTACAGTTTACATTAGTATCCGGTTTTATACCGGTAGCCGGATTTTACTAGCTACCAATTTAAACTGTACAGTCTAATCAGTCGCTAGTGGTAAGATCACTATCTGCAATGCAATCGTCCTTGGCCCTTTCGTTGCATTCGTCTCCGATCGGTGTACGCACTCCGTTTGCCGACTCTAACCCGAAATCCTTAAAAAGCAGTTAAATGCTCACCTCTTGATCTAGGATGTATCCTTTGGAGTCGTCTAGTGCAATACGAAGTGTTGTGGAGCGGCGACATAAAAAACTCTCTGTGACCCCGACCTTTCACTGGCGCCAAACCGTCGACTGATGGAGGGGTAGTCCGATAACGTGTACTTGTCCTTCATCACCTTGTGTACCCGTCCACTGGGCGGGTTAAACTCTACTCGGTGAACTTGCTCCGATCGTGATCGTGATGGGGTCTTGGTCGAAGGTGGTGAATTGCGTGGAATTTTTTCATGCGATCGTAGCAGGGTGGATAAAGAAAGCTTTTGGCTCCAGTTTAAACGCTGGAGCCAAAAGCTTTCTTTATCCACCCTGGATCTTCTCTTTCCCTTCCTCGTTGATCCTCTTGAGACGTCTAGTAAATATTCTGACTATTGAGCCGTCTCGTAGAGGTTCCTTACTTGAACGCTGCGTCCGATGGCATTTGACTAGATTTTTATTGAGTATACTTCAACCTACCCCGATGCCGCGTATGGACCTTCTCTTATTTTGTGTACCCGTCGTCTGGCAGGTTGCCTCTTTAGAGGACTTTGTGGAGATGCGATGTCGGCCTTGAAAGCGGTCGACCTTGGGGTGTCTCGAGTAAATCTACTTCACTCGGTAGGATAATAGGTGGACAAGCAGTAAATACTTCCAGGAAAGACTTTCGAGGTGCGTAACAGATGGAGCGTCGCAAGGTAGAGTCGCAAGGTCGAGAAAGAAATGCCGCTGCGGAGCTCTATCCGCCTATTCAATCACATTAATAAGCGTGCACTTTGGAGCATTAATGCGTGTTTGTCGTGTTGCTTCAACCTGGTAAACGGCAATCACGGGGCGATGTATCACTTCCCTCAAGGCACAGAGTACAATCTTCGACCGTGTCGAAAGCGCATGACGTAGCTGTCGTCTTGTGGTGCGGGAACCTCTAATTTACCGCCGTATAATCATGTTGGACCTCTACTCAGCCACTATTTTCTCGTGTGGAAACCTCTGCTCGACCACTGTGTTGCTTTGTGGGAACCCTGCCAACCACACCATTAACTTGGTCGTGGTTACTCGAGCCTTCTGGACCTCGACCATTGTCGACGAAGACGGTGCAAGCTGCACAGACAAGAACATTGCTCACGCTGTGGGTTTGTGAATCTCCAGAGTCCCGCCAGGAGCAATGCGCGCTGAGCCTAAGGTTTTTGACCTCCAATCAATCCATGGCTCATGACGTTTAAGCCATGCCATGCTAGGATAAAGTCATACCTCGCATCCTGATTTGAGACCAAATGGCGTTCCATGCTGTTAAAGTACAAGAACTTTACATAAAAGTCTTATCGGGACTTTGGGTACCGTAACACGCGTACCCGTTGCTAAGCGAACTTTGGCTGTGTCACTCTCACGCGTTCTAAGCACTTCATCATACTACTGACTACATTTCACGGTGGCACGGCGCATATTGTTTCCCGATGCCTCCAAATCGATCAAAATGATCCATGGCTTATCAAAGCCCTTGATCGTCCCTTTGACTACCAGCAAGCCTGGCTTGCATTTTTGTTCCGTTTTGAGAGTTCGGGTCTCTTTAAGGCTTAGCCTGTTTACTTCTACCTCCTAGAGGCTCAACAGAACTCAGTTCTTCCCCAGCATGGCGCCCCGCGCCTACTGAGTTCTGCCGTTTACCCATGGAACGTTGGCCCTTTGAGGCCAAATATGCCTCTCTTGCAAAGCATTTTGCCATCAAATGGACTGTGCTCTTGCGGATATAGCATCTGCGCACAATTAGCTGCTCCGCAGCTTGAAGCTCAGGTTCTTCATCCTCCACTTGACTACAGTCCATGTGAACAGACTCATTAGACGAGTAGTTATAAGTGGCTGGCCTAGCGGCCATGGAGTTGGTTACGGCATTCCGTGCCACTCCACCAGTTGCCTCGAATGAGGACGGGTTTACCTGGAAGACTTCCGTTCTAGAAACGCCAACTCGGAGGCCCTCCATGAAGACCGTGACGGCCACTGCCTCAGGCATAGGGCCTATGACCATTGTGAAAATGAGAGTTCTCAGCTCAAGCACGCATGCCGAAGCTCACACTTGCCTTGGCGACACGACAACGATCGCTACCCGATTTACGTGTGCTTGGTCTGGCGGTGCATACTACCGGGTGATCTGAACTTTCATATCGCCCCATTGGGAAGACATCTTGCCGTGATTCACCGCATGTGAACGCCCATTGGTTTGCTAATCCACATAAATTACCCGTGGCAAAGTCCACACGGTACGGGTCATAGGTGATATCGGCTATAAACATAGCCGATTCAACCTGTCGGAACCAAAGCATAAGGTTGTCACTTTCTTTGCCGTCGAACTTATCGACTTTTATTGGTATGGGTTTTGGTCTGCGGACCACTTCTTGCGCCATAGTCGCCATGGGCGTAGGCGCAGAAGAAGGCATCTGTGCACTACATGCTCGACTAGAGCTTTATTATACTCTCAAGCATGTGAATACGCTTGTTAACCTCTTCCTCGCCTTGGGCAATGAGGTACTCCACGACCTTAGGGTCAAGGATAGGGAGCAGCTTCTGCAACCCTTCCTGTTGTGCCTGTGACAGGCCAACCGATGAGATCTCATCGATGTCCATTCTCACACAGAGAAGTAGTCGCAAACCCAGGTGCGGGATTGACTATGATTGCTACCTGGTGAAGCCAAGTTACTGTAGCCAAGCTACTTATGCACTACGTGCAGAGGAAGACAAGCTCCAAGAGCTGTACGTCTTAAAGCTCTCAGCCCTCTCAAGGCTAGCTTTGCAAGCTTGTGCCTTTTGGTTATACAATAATCACGTCTCCAAGAGACCATTATCAGAGATACAACTTCTTTTACACAAGGACTAAGGCTCTAGAAACACACATGCTATGCAGAGCAGGTTTAGAGCTGATTTATTTAATGTTTATCTTCAAGCACTAAATATAGAAGCACCTACGCTATACTTAGTGCTAGTCACTATTTACTGGCTCTGTAGACCTCCTAATATGTAAACATGTATATTCAAGATACTTACCCTGATTATAGTGACCATGTGGCTCTCTGCCACAATGTGAGCTCGTTATGCCTTAGGTACGGTCACATCAACCCATCAATGTACCAAAGTATAGCCACACTTGGCAGCATAAAAAGTCAATAATGCGCATTTGACGCTCGGTATAGCGCTCTAATAAAGTATGTAAGCGTGCATGAGTGCATTGGTTTTGTACTTGTTAGTACGCTTTTGTCAAGCTGCTCAGGCGCAACGTCAACCAGTTTAATGAGGAGCTAATATAGTGTGAAATTCACATAATATCTATCACGATCACCTAATGACTTGGAACCCAATGAATTTTCAGATTTCTAGCTCCAGCTCCATCTCGCAAGGATATATATCAGTCTATTCCTGCACGACTATCTCTGCCGAACCATCGACTTGTCTGCCATCAAACGCTCAGCGTAAACCACGTAATAACCAAAACGATCCTGAAAAACTGCGACTAGCTCACCATCCTGCGCAGGTGTTTTTGCATTTGTAACAAGGTTACACAAAGGTGTGTATTGCACATACACGCCTGCCACGCCATTGTGGTGTGGCTGTACCTTGGGTACAGTGGTAAGTTGATGTGACCGTACCTAAGGTGCTAAGGGTCGCCTTGTGGCAGAGAGCACGTGGTCACTATACTTAGTTAAGTATAGTGACTATACATGTTTACATATTAATAGTCTACAGAGCCAGTAAATAGTGGCTAGCACTAAGTATAGAGTAGGTGCTTCTATATTTAGTGCTAGAAGATAAACATTTAATCAATTAGTTTCAAACCTGCTCTGAATAGCACAAGCGCTAGAGCGTTCTCTTCCTTGAAAGAAAGATATTGTATCTTTGATACTAGTCTTTTGGAGATACGGTTGTTTACAACCAAAGGCATAAGCTTGCGAAGCTAGCCTTGGGAGGGTTAAGAATCCTAAAACGTATAAGCTCTTTTAGCTTGTCTTTCTCTGCACGTAGTGCATAAGTAGCTCTGCTACATCATTACATTACATATGGCATGAAACTCATGCTGGCAGCAAGTATAAGGAGGCATTACATGAGTGTTATCTTTGCACTCACAAATGGTGATGAACGGCTGCTTGAAAAGGTACATTATATGTAGTATACACGATATGCTATCGATGTGTAACGCATAATGAAGTCAATATATTGCGATTAGGTTAGAGGGTCTCTTCTGGTATCACACATAGCTGAGGCTTATTGTGGGAATAAAGGCTCAAGTTCTGACCTATTCAAATTACAAACGATGTGACGTATGTATACAATAATGTAGCTTAAACGGTTTATATGGATGACTAAATGTTTTAGCTAAATAAGTTCTTAGTACCCATTTTCCATTAGTTTTAACATCTTTTCCCAAAATAGGTTTCACGACGAAAAGGTCACTTGATAATGAATTATAGCGGTATCTACGAGGCATACAACGAAGATTACTCTGGTAGTAATGGAGGAGGTGGCTTTATGTCGAGCCAACCTACAGGAAATCAATCTTCACCTGCAAAACGCAGTGGTGTTGCACAGAACATGTTGCCAGTCACAATCAAGCAGCTACAAACATTAGGTGCCGCGTCGACGGACGATGATGCGATGCGTCTCGACGGCCAGGAAGTGTCGACTGTAAGACTTGTGGGACTGCTAACCAACTTATCAGCACACTCTACAAGCCTTCGGTTTCAATTAGATGACGGATCTGGAGTGTTTGATTGTCATTATTTTATAACAGCAGACGACACGGACGCGAGCGAGGGAGAGATGAATCGATTGAGAGAGGGGAGTTACGTGCGAGTGGTGGGTAAACTCCGCACATTTCAGGGTAAATCGAGCTTGTCTTGCTTTAATGTGGCACCAGTAGAGGATATGAACGAGCTTACTCATCACCTTTTGGAAGTTATCTACGTGCATTGCTGGAACACCAAGGGGCCACTGAATAATGGCAAGGTGGATGTCAAGATGACGTCATTTAATACGCCTACTAAGTCAGCATCTACTGATCAATGGAATCAACCGAGTGTAGGAGGTCTTGGAGTAGGAGCAATGGATTATGGCATGATGGACTCTAGCTTTTCACCTGAACAGAAGGCCATTCTAGACGTGTTGGGAACATGCACGAGTGATCACGGACTCAAGATCGACCAGATATTCGCTGACTTGCGTGGTCGAATGACTGAGCAGCAGCTTCATAGTGCACTCAATTACCTTACTAGTGAGGGGCATGTGTATTCCACAATCGATGAGGATCACTTTAAGCGCACGGCGTAGACGTGAAGAACGGAGAGCACAGGTGGATTTGTTGCTGATTATTGAGTAGTCATTAACATGATCAGCGCTTGCTCCACATGATTTGTCGTCTGAACTCGAGGTCAGCTTGAAGGAGTCTAGTACAGGTGCAAAGTAGCTCGCACACATTGTAAGCGCTAGCTAGATCTGCCTAGGTTTCCAACTGACAAGTAATCGGCTTATACCTGCAAGACGCTATTCTTCGGATCGACAACTGACTAAGTGATTTGAGCATGGTCATCGTCAACTTCATCTGTTCCTATTCTCTTCGTTATACTGACAATGCTGCCAAGAAGTATGATGCTGACAGAATGTCATTTGGTCGAACGCCAGTACAAGTCGAAGCTATACGTAAATTTACAGATACGTTACCATCTTCAAATGCTCTGTCCAAAACGCAACGTTTTCTAGAAATGCTTTGGTTCTCATTGCTAGTTCCATTCGAACGTGTACTCTTAGATCTAAAAGTATCGGTTCCAAGATTTCTTTTGCTGTAGCGTCATTTGTAGCTCAACGACGAATGAACAAGAACATTGCTTGAAATCGACATAGCGCTGAACAACAGCCAAGTCAATTTCGATCACGCTTTCAGTCGTAACAGTCCTCATGTAGGCCTCTAAACGTCAGTCGGTTAGCTAATGAGACATACTGGAAAGCAGATTAAGGTTGAAGCATTCGGTCTCGCGGTGCTACTCGATAGGCACAACCACACAAGTTCTAAAGAGTCGATGTCGTCGGGACAAACAGTGTTTTCCTGGAATAATATCTGCACCGTTATGAGTCCCCATTGACTAGTAATTTGCGACGGTCCATCACGGAGTTGCCAGAGTAAAGTTGTGAGAGAGCAAGGTACACAGTATGTCATGTTCACTCAGTTGAAAAGAACTGAGACGTTACCTCTTGTCTTTCTTATTACTATCGTGAATAGTTGTCAGAACTTGACTAATCATCCAAAGGCTTCCATCTGCTCTTTTCTTCGATTCTAAAGCCACTCAAATCATTCTGGAATTACAGACTACCATGAGCTCTCGTCATGCATGGCGCTATGTGACATTCGATGCGACTGGTACGTTGCTACGTCCTGCAGAATGTCTAGGTAAGACATATCTGAATTTCTGGAAAGCAGCGTCAGGCCAGTCACTCTCGTCTTCTCGCTACGCCGCTGCAGTTGCTGCCCTCACGTCGCAGTTCCCGACCGAGTTTAGTCTGCTCTCGCGTTCCAATCCAAACTTTGGATCGGACAGTAAAACTACTAGCGCATTCCTGTGGTGGCGACAACTTGTGCTAAATGTGATGAAACGTGCAAAAGTTGTAGATTGTCTTGCACACAATGAGGAGCAGGTCGAGCGCTTTATGCGTAACTTGTATGCGCACTTTGCACGTCCCGAAGCGTGGATGGTATTTGAAGACGTGAAGCCGACACTAGAGAGGCTGGTAGCTATGAAAGTTCCAATTGGTGTCATTTCCAATTTTGATGAACGGTTGGAGTCGCTTTTGGTGGGATTGAAACTTCGTGACTATTTTCAAGTTGTCACAACGTCGTTTGGGCAGCCCCAGATGAAGCCACACGCATCGATTTTTCAGTCAACGTTCAAGCAGTTACAGACCGAGGAAGAACCAGTCGTTGCAAGTAAATTTCTGCATGTAGGAGACCATCTGTCCAGGGATTTCAAGGCAGCAAAGGACATCGGAGCTCAAGCCAGACTGTTGTGGAGGACAAAGCATCCGCCACCACCCAATGACATAAATGCGAACGAAGTCATTGCGACGCTACATGATGTTGTGGCGGAGAAGCAGGTGAACGAGGTCGAGGCATTACTGACGGCATGGTGACAGTCTAGCTCAAAGTAATGAGGAGATAGCTGTATTAACAAAGGTTTGTACGGTCTAAAACAAAACTGTCGACGCAATGGTGCAAAGTGTTGTCGGTATGGCAGCAGCTGAAGTAAGAAGTACGACAAAGTAAGCAATGGATTAGCACCAATGTTGGTGCGGATAGCGGCAGAATTGCGGCATTTCTATAAAAAATATTGCGTTTAATGAAAGTATCGGGACTTGCTTGGTGCTATCGTTCGAGCGTTTCTGAACCTGCCGCTGCCTTGTGAACACGAGCGATAAAGAGCCCACTCGTGTTTTGCGATGGGGTGAAGCGTAAAGTGCCTGGAAGCTTTCCTTCCTACGCAAATCAATAGACATTGGGTGAAGGCTCACAACTTCGCATTAGTCAACTAGTCGAGGGTAGGTCTACCTTACCTGACAGGGGACGTCTTTGCTACGTGCGATCGCGTCAAGCTTAGCAAGCGATTCATCCTGAAGAAACTCCGACACGATGTCTTCATTCTGCTTTGTAGACATACTGCAAGTGCTGTAGATCATCGTGCCTCCTGGACGCAACAAGTTGAAGCCGTTGCGGATGAGTGCACGCTGCAACTTTATAATTCGTTCAACCTCCTTCACATTCAAATGGTCGCGCACGTAATCTTTCCACTTATCAACCGTATTCAATCGCTGTAAATGACGAATCGAGCCGTCGTGTGTGCACTCGGCATCCACCAATACTTTGTCATAGAGAGCAGCGTCGACAAGCAGACATTTCTGTTGCTTCGCATCTCGCGCACGAGCACTTTTGTTTTTTCGCTTCCGTTTTTGGTCTTTTGAAGCTCTTAGTGCAATTTCCTGCGTGTCCAGAAGCTCTTCCATTCCATCGACGTTTGCGCATTCCGTCTTGGGTCCGATATTGAACGTTCGTCCATCAGCATGGAACAGTCTGCATCTCCACTGGGTGTCTGCACTCAAGAGATGATATTTATGCACCAAGTGTCTACATGCACACAGCCTTGAGCGCGAGTAATCAACGCCTGTAACACTCCCACGGAGCTGCAGCAGGTCGGCAATCATCGTCAACTTGGCTCCAGGAGCGCAGCACAAGTCCAGCACGTGCTCGCCAGGCTGAACTTCCAGCAGTGAAACAGCAAATCCTGATGAAATATCAATTCCATACACTTGTCCATTTTGATACAGATCAGCTCGAGCTAGTGGAGCGGACATTGGTAGAGAGAAAAAGCCTGGAAGCCACTTTACAGCTTGTGGTACGACGTTTCTAGCTCTATCAGCATCAATTTTTGCGATTTCTTGAGACAAATTGGCAGCAATTAATTGTATTCGAGGGTCTTGAGTCTCTTTTTCATTGCTTGTAGCTACGTGTTTAAGTCTAAGGAGGAAAATGACAGCGATACAAGTCAAAACATGAGCTTGGGACAAGAATGACACACAATCTTGAAAACCATTTGTCTCATTACCTAAAGAAACGTAGAGATTCTCCACTCGAGAGTGGAATAATAAGATCTTTTGTATTTATCTGATGATCGTTCAAGAAGCAAAGAAAACCTGATGTCTTCCAGACAGCCTGATCATCCCAAGGGATTGATATCGTCATAGTTGTGGTGATGAGTCTTTCCAAACCCCAGTCACACGAATGGCTTCACAAGTATGTAGCCATTTTCCAGTTTGTACGGTATAAAACCGGTTTCTTTTCCTCTAATCATTAAGATTAGTGGAAGGAGGGGGAGGAGAAGTATCCTGTATATCAAACCCGTCGCATGTTTTTATATTGAAACTTCAAGTCATGACAAACAATCCATCAAATGAAGGCAAGAAACTCTGGGGCGGCCGTTTTCGAGGAAATGTGGATCCTATAATGAATAAATTTAATGAATCACTTAGTATCGATAAACGAATGTGGTGTGTTGATTTGGATGGTAGTCAAGCGTATGCACGTGCATTAGAAAAGAGTAAAGTATTGACAAAAACTGAAGCGGATGATATTGTAACTGGATTGGATCAAGTAAGAAATGAGTGGGCGAATGAAACGTTTGAAATTAAGGAAGGAGATGAAGATATTCATACGGCTAATGAACGTCGACTTACGGAACTAATTGGTACTGTCGGTGGCAAATTACATACAGGTCGGAGCCGAAATGATCAAGTAGCTACTGATGTACGTCTATACTTGAAACGTACAATCAATACGATACAAGAAAGTCTTAAAGAACTGATTGGTACAGCGAATGAATTAGCTGAAAATCATATCGACTTGCTTATGCCTGGTTTTACCCATTTGCAACCGGCCCAGCCATTGCGCTTCTCGCATTGGGTATTGAGCCACAATGCAGCACTACTGCGTGATGCTGAGCGCTTGGTAGATCTTACGAAACGTGTTGATTACATGCCATTGGGAAATGGCGCACTGGCTGGTAACTCGTTTAACTTGGATCGTGAAGCCCTGGCCAAGTCATTGGGTTTTGGTAACGTAACGCCCAACAGCCTCGACGGTGTATGTGACCGTGACTTTATCGCCGAGTTCCTCTTCTGGGCTTCCATGACCATGGTGCACCTGTCTCAAATTTCGGAGGACCTCATCATATACAACACGCTCAAGTTTGTGACCATGACCGACGCCTACAGTACCGGCAGCTCCCTCATGCCTCAGAAGAAAAACCCTGACGCGCTGGAGCTGCTGCGTGGCAAGAGCGGCACGATCATCGGTCGTCTGAACGGCTTTCTCGTGACACTCAAGGGCCTGCCACGCTCCTACAACAAGGATCTGCAAGAAGACAAGACAGCGCTCTTTGACGTCGTTGATACCATTCAGGACTGCCTGCAGATCGCCACCGGCGTGCTGGCTACCATGACCCCGCGCGGCGACAAGATGCGCAGCTTTCTCGTAACGGAGATGCTGGCCACCGACTTGGCCGAGTACCTGGTGCGTAAGGGCGTCCCATTCCGTGAAACTCACCATGTTGCCGGTGCTGCCGTGAGATTGGCCGAAGACAAGAACAAGGCATTAAGTGCCCTCACGTTCGAGGAACTGTTGACGCTGCATTCAAAATTTGAGGAGGATGTTCTGGACGTGTGGGACTTTGACGCTAGCGTTGAGCGCAAGAACGTCACGGGCGGCACGAGTAAGAGCGCTGTACAGCAGCAAATTGCCAACATCAAGGCGTGGCTTGCTTAAGAAGTCAAGCGCAGCTCATAAGTTTATGACGCTATGGCTACCATCATCCAAATGCATGCTGCTCTCTTACGCTGCACGTCTTCTAGCTCCTCACTTTTCTAATACAAAGGAATACCTGTTCAAGCTTGAGATTTCCACGTTTTCTCAGTCTGTAGCAATAGACAGCTTAGTAACGGAAATGGCCCAGTCGCAATGATAGCATTCTCATCACATGAACTCCATAGCAACGTTCATTCTTTCAATCTGTTACAGTAACAATAATGCTCCTTTCTCATCTAGCAACAGCAAGAAGCACTATGTAGCTTGTATTGCTTCTCCTACTTTTAATGACCCCTGCACATCCAGCAATTAATCATTTGTCCGTTAGTTGATAGAATTAGTTGTAATCTAGATTGTTATACACATTACAAAAACGCACGATTGCTTGCGACGAAGGATAAAATCAATCATAGAACCAACGCGTCGATTAGCACGTCGGATATTTTGTTCTTCAGCTTTACGTTTACGTTTCTGCCATTTCTTTTCATGAAATCGCTTAAGTGCCAGGGTTTTTAGTGAACCATCCTCAGCCAAGATCGTTTGCATACGACTAGCAATACGACTTGGGTCCTGACCATCATGAACCTTTATCCATAGAAAACGTTGAGCACCAGCACGACCCGCGAACGCAGTCAACGGGTAGCGAACAACGGTACGAAGGACTGCAGACATGATTTTGAGCTAGCTTATGTGTGTGGTTGACAGACCTTGGCGAAAAACCGGTTCCAAAACCGACTGTTTCCTGCTACTATATACCGGTATCAGTTGACCCTTCTTACCAATTGGTTTTACTACGAAAACAATGACGGATGAACTCGCGGATGTTCCTGAAGCGAGTCTGCGTAATTTAGTAGCGCAAACATCATTGCAATGGATTTTTGTAGGCGGCAAAGGTGGCGTTGGAAAGACGACTACGTCCTGTTGTTTATCGATTCAATTAGCAGCTCAGCGTGAAAAAGTACTCGTTGTATCCACAGATCCAGCTCACAACCTCAGGTGTGTAAAACAAATTATAAACGTTTTTACGTTTCAACTGTCTTGTTTTTATCAAAAAAATTCTAAATTTGGTGATTTTGATCTGCCAAAAAGTGATGCATTTGGTCAGAAATTTACACGGGAGCCAACGTTGGTGAATGGTTTTTCAAATTTAGCCGTTATGGAGATTGATCCTAATGTGGATGTACGTATAGACAGACGGCTTATGGTATAATTGTGTTTGTGTCGTGTGTTGTTCATGCTGACTACTATGTATCTAATGTTATTTGATATAGCTAGAGGAATTGAATGCTGATGGTGTACAGGACAATTCAAGCATGGCTTCATTTATGAAAGACCTGACTAACTCGATTCCTGGCATTGATGAGGCCATGAGCTTTGCAGAACTTATGAAACAGGTGCAAAACATGGACTACTCGGTCATTGTGTTTGATACGGCCCCTACAGGCCACACACTTCGTCTACTAAGCTTTCCTACGGCATTGGACAAGGCTTTCGACAAGATTTTGTCACTCAAGAACCAGTTTTCAGGCATGTTCTCGCAGGTCTCGGCGCTGTTAGGCGGCGCGTTGCCGTCACAGGAGATGCTGCTCGGGAAGCTGGAACAGACACGCGAGGTCATTCAGAAGGTAAATGCACAATTTAAGGATCCAGAGCGCACCACCTTTGTGTGTGTGTGCATTCCAGAGTTCCTGTCGCTGTATGAGACCGAGCGTCTCGTGCAGGAGCTCACCAAATACGAGATCGACGTGCACAATATTGTGGTGAACCAAGTGCTATATCCAGAAGAGGGCTCGACGTGCAAGAGCTGCAGTGCTCGACAGAAGATGCAGCAGAAGTACATTGACCAGATTTATGACCTGTACGAGGACTTTCACGTCGTAGAGATGCCCCTGCTGAGTGAGGAGGTGCGTGGTGTGCCGTCACTGACAACCTTCTCCGTAAATCTGCTCGCACCGTACGAACCGAAATAGTAATGACAAGAATTACAAAAGATGCATCGCCTTTGCTGCGTGCTTTGGAAAAGACTGCAGATCTTGACCGTTTTATTCGTTGCTACTATCACTATATCCTGCTACTAAGCTTGCAATAGGTTGCGTCGACAGCTTTGTCTTGTTCTTCTTCTTCTTTGTTGTGTCTAAACCTGTCTTTTTCTTGATCGTCACGGCTACCATTAGCGATGGAGTCTTCGTCGAACAAGCTCTGGCAAGTGCTGCTAACGACACATCATTAACCTTCGTGTCTTCATTACCGTCGCCAACTGGTCGTTTGCGTTCGCTTTTTTTGAGCTGCAATTTCCGCTTTTGTTCAAACACACGATGTGCTTCCTGTCGGTCTTGTTCAAACTGCTTTTCTTGCTCTTCCTTACTGATTTTCCCCACATCTGCATGTTGCTGCAAAAGTTTATCCGTGTCCACCTTCGCATGACGCTGATTGATGGCTTTTATCTCATCTAATGCATCCAAAATATCCATCTCTCGCTTGGAGTCAAGTGTACGGTTTTCCAGTGCTTTCATCGCATCGCCCTTCTCTTCTTCCACACGCTGAGCAATGGCCGCTTCTTGTTCATCTTCAGTCTCTCGCCAGGGTTCAAAATTACGTTGACAACCATGTTCAGCTACGTAATCACCACGTTTAGGGTCGGTCTTGAACGTTATCTCCGATGAACATGTAATACACTTGATATAAAACCGGTATATGCGAATTCCATGGTAATTCTCTTCCAGTACTTCCTCCTTGCGTGAATTAAACTTTTTACCACGGTACATATATTCACCACAGGTACCACATTGGATCGAAAAAGGAAGCATCATACGAACTTCTACCTGTTCATTTTTAGGTTTCTTACGTCGTGGAACAAGTGATGGATCAAAATCTGGTGGAAAATACTTGTTTAAGACCTTCCGTTCACCCATGGGATAGACAAAAGAGGAATTGTATTGACCTCATGTGATTACAAGATAAATTAAATGATAGAGGTTTGTTTTATAAGACTTGTGGGGTCAATTGCAAATCATTTACAGAAGCTTCGTTAAAATAGAGTTAAAGTAGCTTTTTATAAACATATGACAAGCTTTTACAAATCATACACAATCGATCGACAGCTCGATGAGCACATCTGCTATAAAGTCGACACCGACGCAAAGGTGGTCAAATGACCAACGACGACTTGATCAAGTCTACATTCAGCGTGTGTTTTTAGCAAAGCACATAGGTTTTCCCATCCTATGACCGCCTCTCCCCTCCTGTGTTTATTCCAGTGGTCTAGTCTGCTAACAATATCTTTGTATTGATTGTACTGGCGTTGAACAGATAGGAGGAGAGATGACATGCTAGAACGGTTTTAAGTCGACACAAACGGGACTTGGACGTGATCATATGTCTTTTTAATAAATGACATCAATCATACCCCTATTCTCTTATCTTTTTACATATGACGATAGGTAGCTTAAAACAACACCATATTGCCTTATTATATATCAACCTTTTTCTTTTTTTCAACCAATCATTGTGCATTAATTCTATCGATGGTTGTCGATTTGAAATTATAGTCATTTTTAAACTAGGACCACCACAGAAATCACCCCCCCGCTCTCTCTCTCTCTTGCTATTATCATTCCAATGGCTCTTACACGCGCTTCTGTTGCCGCTGGGCGTATGCAAGCTGCCTCCCGTTGCCCGTTCATGCATGCACTACCTACAGCTCGTGCTGCTTTGCTGCCGAATATCTCACAATTGGTAAAAATGTGTCCACACATGTCGTCCGTCATGAACGCCGTGTCCAGTGGTAGCAGCAACAATTCACTGACACACTCGACTTCAACCACGTCGGATGCGACGTTGAAGCGCATAATTGAGCTAAAAAAGAAGGCAAAGAAGCAAAAAGCTGCAAAACTGGGCGGCTTCAAGCCGTACTCATCGGCTGTATCTCGCTTTCCCACGACCCCGACCCGCCAGAAACGTGTTGGTGGTCTGTCAGCCTCACAATATGAGAAGGGATTTGCTCATACTATTGATACGATCAAGAAGGAAGGTCGTTATCGTGTCTTTGCTGATCTAGAGCGCAAGCGTGGCAAGTTTCCGCGTGCCACACACCATGAAGACTCGGGTAATACGAAAGAGGTTGTGGCCTGGTGCAGCAACGATTACTTGAGTATGGGTCAGCATCCTAAGGTTATTGCATCGATGCAAGAGTATCTAATGAAATCTGGTGCCGGCTCTGGCGGCACTCGTAACATTTCAGGCACGAACCATAATCACGTACTGCTAGAGCGCGACTTGGCTGATTTGCACCAGCAAGAAGCAGCGCTACTTTTTACATCATGCTACGTGGCAAACGACAGTGTGATCAGCACACTTACCAAGATTTACCCGGATCTTATCATGTTTTTCTGACAGCTTGAACCACGCGTCCATGATTCAAGGTATTCGACACAGCGGAGCTAAGAAGTACGTTTACAAGCACAACGATGTAAAGGACCTAGAAGAGAAGCTAAAGATGGCCGACCCGAACGCTCCTAAGCTGATTTTGTTTGAGAGTGTCAATTCTATGGAAGGCACTGTTGCGCCTTTGCACGAGATATGTGATCTTGCGGATAAATACGGGGCTATGACGTTTAATGACGAGGTGCATGCCGTGGGGTTGTACGGCAACCGTGGTGCTGGTGTCGCTGAGCGTGATCACTGCTTGGACCGTATCACGATGGTAACGGGAACTTTGGCCAAGGGATATGGAATCATGGGTGGATATGTGGCTGGCAACGCCGCGCTCGTGGATGCCATGCGCTCGTGCGCTTCGGGTTTCATCTTTAGCTCGTCAATGCCTCCCATGCTTGCAGCTGGTGCTCGTGCATCGGTGAACCACTTGAAAGAGAGCCAAGTGGAGCGTGCTACCATGCACGCGCGCTCTCAGGAGCTCAAGAACATGCTGGTGGATGCCGGCTTCCCTCTCCTTCCGAGTGTGAGTCACATCATTCCGCTTATGGTTGGTGATGCCGTGAAGGTAAAGGAGGCTTCGCGTATCTTGATGGAAAAGCACCGCATCTACGTGCAGCCTATTAATTTTCCTACTGTACCGCGTGGCGAGGAGCGTTTGCGTCTCACGCCACTGCCGACCCATACGGACGAGATGGTGGAGGACCTGATGACGGCTTTGGAGGACGTTTGGACTACGCTCGACCTACCGCGTCACTTTGTTCCTAAGGGCGAGTACTTGCCCAAGGTGGAATGGGCTAATTCACCACTGGAGATTGTTTGCGAGTTCATGGTGGAGTCAGAAGCTGCCTGCGCTGCCTAAGTGCACACCACGTGTATGCATGCCTCACTGAAACGCACTCGAGTATTGGAAAAGCCCAAGGCATTTACGTGCGTGTATGAAAATGTTACAATGTAATTGTAACAATACTAGGATGTGAGGTAAAAAAAAGTCATGAATACTGAATTTTCCTGTCTGTTTCTACAGAGATAAGATAATGTGTCATTCATTTTGTATGACTAGTGCTTTTTCATGAGTTGGATGCTTAGCCATCGATCGTTTGGTTATGTTACTAAAATTACATCTATCTACATATTTTTTACAGGTTATATAATGTTTGACAGGTCATCATGTTTGCTCTTAATTCTAATCTATATCAATCATGTCATCGTGGTTCTCGGATGAGGCTCTTGGTCTCTTGGAGGCTCGTAATCTCCGTGAAGTGACGGCATTTCGTGACTTAATTGCGTCATATCAGCAGTTATTGTTCCGATCTCCAAGCTCATCCTCTTTGAGTGCGTCACTGCGTCTTCCGAGTGCCCAGGAGCAAGATAATGCTGCAGCACAGAAATATCTAACGGCCATTCAGCGACTAGAGCATGAAGTGGCGGAAAAGAACGCACAGCTAGCGAGATATGTAGGTCAGCAATTAGCGCTTGTAAATGAGAGTAAAACGCTGCTACAGGAACGTGAGAATTGGAAGCAAAAGCTGCAGCTAACGACAAAACAATTGGACGAAGAGACCATGTTGAGTCTTGAGAAGGATAAAGCTCTGAAGGAGTTGGATGCTGCGCTTTTGCTGGCAAAGGAAGAGCTGAGTAGATATAGAATGCTGTTGGAGAATAGTGAGAAGGAAACAGAAAGACTGAGAAAGAGGAATGCAGAGCTAGAGACTCAAGTGCACGAGAAGAGTGCGCTGCTTCATGAGTGGATTCAAACAGAGGAACATCCATGCCGTGCACTAGTAGCAAGAATGACTCAGGAGACGGCAGAAAGCATGAGTCACTTGTTACTGAATAAGGAGGAAGGAGAAAACGGAACTGACGTTAAAGCCAAGTTAATTACTCGTATGACGCACTCGATTCGTGCTCATGCGACAGAAGTGAACTCGGTGTGTTTCAACACGTCGGGCAAAATCTTGTTTAGTGGAAGTAGTGATGGCACAGTGAGAGCTTGGGAAGCAGAAGCGGAGGTGTCGTCTTCTCCTAGAGCATTGGGTGAGTACAGAGGCATAGGGACTGCGCACCCATTGCTATGTGTGCGCGCGTCAGAGGATGGCGCGCTGGTTCTAGGAACCGGATGCGATCGAAAGTGCTTTGTGTGGAGAGTGGGCACTGGACGCGTCATGCAGACGCTTACAGGACACAAGGGCAAAGTGTTGGCTGCCGAGTTTTCGCCTGTCTTGCCTCATGAAGTAATTACCGGCTCGTCGGATCGCAGTTTGCGTGTGTGGGATGTTATGCGTGGAGTGCGACTGCAGACTGTCAGCTGTGTATCAAGTTGCAACGACATTGCTACACCCTCAGGAACCGATGCGACGTTTGTGCAGTACGCGAGTGCTCACCAAGACGGTGCTGTTCGCTTCTGGGATACGAGGACACGGCGTTGCGTGCAGGAGCTGCGCGGACTTCACACTGACCAGACTACATCCGTGAGTTTCGGTGGCAACGAGCTCCTCACAAATTCTCGCGATCATACTTTACGCGTCATTGATCCACGCACTTACTGCGTACTACGTGAGCTGCGTCACAAAGACTACCAATGTGGGTTCGACTGGAGCCAGGCTTCTCTCAGTCCGGATGGTCGTTACGCATTGTCCGGTGGAGCTTCCGGTATTCTTTTTATCTGGAACGCATGTACTGGAAAACTTGAAAAGCAGTTGCAACCTGGTTCCACGGGCCACCACGGAGCTATTGCGTGTTGTGTGTGGCGTCCTGACGGTCAAGGCGTTGCGTCATGTGACAAGAACGGTGTCGTGATGCTCTGGGGGTAAAAGGAGACCCTCGACATGTCAAGAATAGAGACAAAAGTGCTGTCATATGTGTGTATTTGTACTGCTGTTGTTGTTGTATAGACAACAACAGCAGCAGCAGCTTACTCTTTGAGGTCAAAGGACGTGCCACAGCCGCAGCCACTGACTGCATTGGGGTTATTGACCACAGCAAAGGCACTCCGGATCAATTCTTGCTCATAATCCACCGTACTTCCTCGAATCAGATCCAGTGATTCCTTATCAACGACAACACGTCCACCATGTTGCTCAAAGACCACGTCTTCTTCCTCATCAGGCGTCGTATCTTTCTCAAATTCAAGGACGTACTTGAACCCAGAACACCCACCGCCTTCTACTGCTATACGCAGCATTAAATTGTCAGTCTTTTCTTGCTTGGCAGCCTCTAGCAGTTTTTTTGCAGCAAGTGGCGTAATCATTAGATCAGGAGCATGAATATCATGTCGCGTTACTTGGACGCTAGAAAACCATTGACATTGGTGTTGACGTAATACACGCTGCGAGAATAAACACCTGATGCTTTTCATGTAGAACATTGGCAAATGACCTTGGTAGAGGCTATTTTTAATAAAGCACGTTTATTTATAGTACGGTATAAAATGGAATAAGGTACTGAAAAACGCAATTTCACCTGATTCCACTGACGTTTTGTGTCATGCATTGAATACACTGATAATCTTAGCTTCCTCCTAATATTAATATTCTGACATTAGTATAGAATAATAAACTTTAAAAGTTACAACAGAAAGACAAGTTTACAAGTCATACGTTTGAAGCTTACGTGAGTGAAATGCATCTTTATACTTGACCTGCTCCACATGAGAGTAAACACACACAGCTATATCTCCCTTAGCTGCTCTCCACTCTGCATTTCACATCATATCCCATGCAAATCGATCGATTTGTCAAACCTACTAAGAAACTGAGGGCGCCGAGGGTAATATATCGGATACATTCACAGCAGCAGGTGCACTTTGAGTCTCCTCCAAAGTCTCGTCATTACTATCCATAATGCTGCGTGGACTGCTACCGAGCGTAAGCGCCTTTGTGAGTGAGATTGTCGCCTTGACAGTGCTAACCGCAGCACGAAACTTACGACGTGCGTTAAACTTGCGCAGCTCTTGTAGCGCCGTAGTAAGCTGCACGTCCTTAACGGCATCCGCTGCAATCCATGGATGGTCTAGCAACTGCCGTGCTGACCATCGCTCCGCTGGTGCCAGAATCAGCATCTTACTAATAAGATCTTTGGCTTCAGCAGATACATCATCCCAATATGGCGAGTCAAATTCATAGCGTCCCGCTTTAATGAGTCGAAAGAGTACGTTCTGGTTGTCATGATGGAATGGAGGATATCCACAGAGCAAAATGTACGTGATGACACCGCAACTCCAAATGTCTACTTCCTTACCGTATGGCTCTGACATTAAAATCTCGGGTGCCACGTACCCAGGAGTGCCACAGGCCGTGGATAACCCTGCATCTCGAGTCTGAATCGCTGTTTTCTTTGCAAACCCAAAGTCTGCAAGCTTGATATCTGCATCATCCTCAGCACTACTCAGCAATAAGTTTTCTGGTTTCAAATCTCGATGAACGACATTTGCATCATGACAGAATGCAATTGTTTCGAGCAATACTTTGACCAAATCACGTGCTTCTCTCTCTGTGTAAAAGTTCTTCTTGACAATCCGTTCAAAAAGTTCTCCACCAGCCATAAACTCAGTCACTAGAAAGAAATAGTTTTCCTCTTGAAACACATCATACAGCTTGACAATATGTGGATGTTGCATCTCTCTCAAGATTTTTACTTCGGCAACGAGAGCTTGTAAATCATCTGCTGTTAGCTGTGCACGCTTAATGCATTTAATCGCAAAGCGTTCACCTGTTGTCTTATGTGTCGCTTCTCGAACTACTGAGAATGTACCAGCTCCTAGTTCTTTTCCCAGGGTGTAAACATCGACAAACCGTTGATTATTTTCATGCGCAGCAATCTGTTCAAATTGTACAGTAGGAGGTGGTGGAGGCACGAGAAAACGTACAGTACGTTCGGCATTACTCGTACTTACAAGAATATCACGGATTTTCTCAAATGTCCATGAAGCTGTCGCGTCTGTAAAATCATGCTCATTAACACCTAAAAGAAGGGAATTTGGACCAATTTCACCCTGATTTTCAAGAGCACCGGGTTTACCTGAGCTTCCTACGGGACGAAACCCATCCACAACAACATGACCATCACCTAATGAGCTTTTACTAACGATAAGACCGAGAGGACCAGCAGGTACGACGACATTAACGCGCTTCCATTGTGAACGATCGGGTGCCATTTGGGTTAAAGGACTTTTGAGCTTGTAAGAAGGTGTATTCATGAAGATGATACTTGAACAAGTGATGGTATACTTGCTGTTTATGCTACGATTAGTATACCCGGTATAGTTGTATGAAGCATAATGTATAAGTATATGAGGTAAATGAGATGGATTTTATTGTAAACACACGTGTTATAAAAACAAGACGGATAATCACTAGATTTTTCGTCCTAATTAGTTTTTGACTAGAAGAAACAAAAATGGTGGATAATATCCATTCTCGCAAGCGATCACGAGAGGAGGCATATTGGACCGCCGAGATAAGTCAAGAGCTATTACGATTACGTTTTCGAGAATTACAGCACCATTTTGATAATGCACAGACTGTGGCAGATGTGCATGAAGCTTGGGGTGTTGTAGCATCGACATTGAATCGTAAAACTGAGTGGGGCTTACAAGTAAATGCTGTGGATTGTAGTGATCACTTTACAAAGCTACGACAGCAATGGGAAGAGAGCAGTACAATCAAGCTACATGTAATGATGGCCGAGTGTTTTAGTACAAGGATTGTTGATACTCATCAATCAATTGAACAAGAGAGGACAGAGGTCGATACAGCGCAAGGTATGCTGAAGAAAAGCAAGATAGTAACAGGTATACAACAGGTACACGAGGTTTCAGTATCATCGTCAGCTGATCCAGTGCCAATGGCTCAAGACGATAAAGCTATTTCGTCTTCCCAACCAGCCACAGCAACATCATCTGAGCCTTCTTCTTCAACTGCACGTGACATTGAGTCATTTTCTACCGCTGCTTTGGACCAAGATCGATTGTTAACAGTCTCTGACTTTATTGCAGTCTCCCGTGAGTCAGTTCCTTCCCATTTTCAAGAAACTTTAGTAACTGATGTACCAGTTGAAGAAGAAGAAGAAGACAAATTGTATCGATATAATGAGATTATGCAAGCATTAGAGAAACGATCGCAGCAACTTGAACGACTAGCACAATCTCATAAACATCTCGCTATTGTGACTGAACAACTTATGGAAGCTTTAATCACTCGGAATATTGGATTCACTTAATTCAGTTCATGTTCCCTGTCTATAAAAATCATAATTGTATCTGATATTTTGAATTCTCATCAAAAATATAAAAATATAGCTTGGATGATAATTATATTCCTCACAAGAGGTTTTCCATTGGTTCCATACAATTCATACTCTTGGTCGCCATGTTTAAGCGGTTTAGCGTGGAGGAGCACGTGAGTACTAGTAGTAAGGTCAAGTCCTCACAGCAGCGCAGTATTCGTACAAAAGTAATTGAGCAGTATCCAGAATTTGAACCATATGCTGAGATGCTTATGCCTAAGAAGGCGCCAATGGTGGTCGCAAAGTGGTGTGTTTATTTATTGTCGGATATAACACATTGTTTTGTTTTTATGATGACAGTATATGCTAATGATATATGTTATACATGACATTAGTCATAATCATCTTCAGATCGTGTTGCACGAGGGTGAACCAATCTTTTTTAATCAGCGAGATGGGCCTTTTATGCCGACACTGAAGCTGCTGCACAAGGGTAAGTCGAGAATCAGATAAGTGGTATTTTATAACTTATAAGGATAATAATCACAATAAAGAGAGAAAGAGCTAATATACAGATGTGATTGGGATTTCAAGTACCACACGTGATGAAGCAAGTACGTGCGGATAAGGGCGCAATTCCATTTGTTCTTTCGGGTGCTAACGTCATGTGCCCTGGATTAACATCAATGGGTGGTGATATGCCCGAGTCGTTGGAGACTGGTACCCCAGTGGTATGTACAAGAATTATAACAATGGGTCTGACTGGATTTTGAAAAGCTCATATTGTTTGGTATTGTTGTATTTGAATGATTGTGTGTGTACAGGCTATTATGGCAGAAGGCAAGGAACATGCCATGGCAATTGGTATCCTCACAATGTCCACCGACGACATGTACGTGTAATGTGATATGTGAAGATTGGTGAAAGTGCGACAATGACTTATTATTTGTATCTGCAGTCGCAACAAGAACAAGGGTGTTGCTATTGAAATGGTGCATTTTCTCGGCGATGATCTATGGACATGCTCACACATCGACTAGAATACAAGTTGACAGCGATCTTACACAGAAGAGAAGACTTGTGAGTCAAAAGAACACGACGAGTTGAAGATGGTAGTTGCAATGCATTGTGATCCTGAAGTTTGTGTAGCTGAAGCTTTTTTACCGGTGCAATGAGTTTCTGCTTCAATGTCTTGTACGCTGTCTATTTGGACAGACTTGGCTATTTTACGCAAAACAGCTATGCTTAATCCGTGGTGTGTTTGGCACAAACATACTCACTCATCACTTCAGCTGTGCCCGCAAGCTACAACTGATCTCTCACGTAATGTCCGTGCTAGAAGTTGCATCTTCGCCAGTCGTTGATGTAGCCCTATGTAGCTTCCAGTCAAAGCTATGCGTACTGACGTTCGCGACAGCAGGTTGCAACTCGATGCCCCCCTCCCATAAGCGAATTTCCGATCGTAAAGGCAGGAGGGTCACCCGGGGGCGAGCCCAAATCGACTGTTCCGTTACTCATTGTGTCCTGAGTAGTAGTGTTTGAAGAGGTAGAAACTGTGCCCGAAGTGGATGCAGGAGTGCAACATGCTGCCAAACTGATGCTTCTACCAATGCTGCTATCCTTGCTAGCGAGACTTGTGATTGAGATTTGTTTATCCAGGTTAACTTGCGTCGTTGGCGGACGTGCTGGTGGGCCATTCGTGTCTTTGGTGTTTGTCTCGCTCGCTTGATTAACTAAATTTGTCAACGAGTCGGATGTGTCCGACATTCTGGAAAAATCTATCACCGAAATGCCTCCGCTCGTAAGTGAATTTTGGAATAGAAACGATGGCGTGATATCCGGTGGCACTCCAAGCGCAGTAGCTGCGTCCTTAGCATTATCGTCTGTGAAAGCGAATACTTTGTCACCACCAACATTGAAAACTAGCTTGGACGGAGTTGGACGTTGAAATCCACCTCCCACGAGCGAACTTTGTAGTGATTGAGATTCCGGCAGCGCACTAACACTTGTCGCTGTCGAGATGTTTTTCTTCTTGTGTGCTGTCTTGGAAACAATCGGTGGTTCAAGTTTGTAGAATCGAGCGTTGCCAGTGCTATTGCCAACCTCGTGATACGTGTCAATTTGCTGATTGGGGCTTTCATTCACTGGTGACGCACGTCGAGCATGATCAATTGCTGTCTGCAAGGTAGACAGTGGATCAGATTGGTAGTTTTCCAAACTTTTATGTGTCCAGTTGTGGTTCGTACACGCTGTTTTTGCCAATGTTGTCGTGGTAGGAGTGGTCAAAGATGCCGAGTTGTTTCCAGCGGCAGCAGAATACAATGTCGATGGCTGCACATGTGTAACTTTCGGTAGTTCATCCAACACAGAGCGATATAATGCCGACGACGACGCTAGCTGGTGTAGCGCGGACGTTAATCCAATGTTCTGGTCTACCAGCACTTCTGAAGACGATGTCGATTCAACTGCTTGTGTGTCTCTTAATGATAGTCTGTGAAGTCCACTTGATGCTGAAGAATGTAAATGCGACCGCAGGACATTGCGCAACGTCTCCAGTCCATCGGTATCGTTACGATCAATCAAGGAGTTTGTCTTTGACGGTGTATCCACGTCCTTTTCACTGTCACTCTTCGACTCATGTTTGACGTCTGACAAGTCTGACGCGCCTTTCAACATCGTGAACGGTGCTGAATCACTCGTGGATGATGCCAAATGAGTCAATGAAGCATCATACGAGCTGTTATGGACATCTTTTCGCTTAATAGGTTGACGAAACTGTGGCTCGTAAAAGATAGGTACATGTTTCCTATTAGGTCTCGGCTTCGGTGGCGACTTTGAGACCGCTTGTCTAGCAGCATCATGTCGATTCTTTGTCGTTGAGGATGTGGTTGTAATATCCATTGCATTGTTCACACATTGTTGATCTCTCTTTGTTATCTTCACCTTTAGTGTTCCGCTTTCAACCTTTGCAGTAAATGCATTTTCTCTATATTTACGCTTCTTCCCATCTGACCAGAACAGATATAAAAGTAAGAAATTTGACTATTATACAGTCAATTTGTATCGTTACTATATCAAACTAGTATGAAAAGAAAAACACGATCAAATCGAACAAGAAGATAGTAATTGTATGCAATAGAACATACGATGTAACACAGCGCAGAGCGATGAAGCAGCAGCAGAGCTCTCCATGTTGGTTTATAATTGCAGAATGATGGTGGTTGAAAATCGATGTGTCACACATTGAAGCGTTTTATATGACCTACAATCTAAACATTCACTCTTGATAAACTTCAACTTGGTGCTTGCGTTACTTCAGCTGGTGTGATGAAAAATTGGTAGCATTTATTGGTATTGTGGCCCTGCGTACAGCTTTTACTTACTTCTAAGATCAGTTGACGTAACTAGTCATGCTTGAAAGTGTGTTTGCGCGTCTGTTTGAATCTCTTCATGGACTGTGACGTCTTTGTGATGCGAATAAACCAATCTACAAAGGACATGGGCATAATGATTGCCAGGATCTCCAAGAAGCACAAAATAGACGGCAGCAAAACTCGCCACTGGTTCCTGCGAACAGCCTTGACAATTTGATCTGCCACGTACTCAGGTGTCAACCACTGTGTGAATAGTGGGGGACTCGCCCCCTCAAACATCCCGGTTGCAATAAAACTAGGACATGCGATGGTCGTATGTATGCCAAAATGCTCCATAGCATGTAGTTCCTGGCGTAAACTGAGCATCAAGCCAATTGCGGCAAATTTGCTTGCACCATAGTCGACCATTCCAGGTGCTCCAAAGATTCCCGCAGCACTAGCAACTGACACAATATGACCCTTATCTCTCTTGATCATCATAGGCAAGAAAGCCTTAATGGTCCACAAATGCGACGTGGCATTAACTGCCATTGTGCGCTCCATCATAACGTCGGATGATTCGAGTAAAGGGTGACCATCTACAATCCCAGCATTATTGATCAAAATATCAACTGCTTTCCACGTATGAAGCACTTGATGGGCAATCGTATCCACTTTCTCACGAGCTGTCACGTCTACGTGATAAAACTGAGCAATGCCGCCTTGAGTTTCAATTTGCTCCACTAATTGATACCCTAAATCTACATGTAGATCCCAAATGACGACAATAGCACCAAGTCTAGCAAAGCGAAGTGCGAGGAGACGTCCAAGACCCATGGCACCGCCAGTAATTACAACAACATCACCTTTGACAGACTTTTGCGGCCAAATCCAATGAAACATGAGAAAAAGAGGAGGAACGAGAGATGATTACGGACGTGAGAAAAATGATATGTGATGAAGGAAGTTGAAGTTGCACAGGACATAAAAATGTGCATTGGATTATTTATCGAAGATAAGGAGAGATGACCCTTTTTTTTAAAACAGAGAGAAAGATCTTGGATACAAATTCTTAAACTCGCAAAGATAACGTTGTCATTTAGTCTATTGATTGTATCCATCGCTTTGTATGGAGATGTTAGTATCGTAGATTTACAATGACATGAACATGGTCGTACACCTTCATCTTCCTCCTATTGAAGCCATCTTACCACCGAAACGAAAAACATTTGGTGGTTAGAATCGCCATTGCAGCAATAGAAACAATATGGGTGCACTTCAACCCCAGCCCGTCTGGCAATCTGCTTGCACTAAAAACCCACGGGTTCTAAAACCCGACACCCATCCTCAGCCATCTTTATGTGTCATTTTATCCAATCGCGTGCGTGTATTTCTTTCAAGTTATTACCAGGTCACTCAGTCCTAATTAGTAGCTACTACGACACGAAGGAGCTTATATATATAGGGAGGAAGATTAGTCGCAATCTCTCTCTCTTTCTCTCTTCATGGCGGACTCCGACGCGAGTTCTGGCTCAAGTAGCAGTTCCAGTTCAGATTCTGTATTAATTCGCGTACCTTTAGACCAAAAAAGACGTAAAAAACTACGTGCACAGCTACAAGAAGACCAGCGTCGACAACGTGAGCATCAGTCGTGTCTTGTGGCTTCTCCACGGCCAAAATCACGCTCTAAATTACTTCAAACGGACTCTGAAATGGACAGGAATAAGGTCAAGTCTTGTCTTACATTGTCTAGTTATTTACACGTGCGTATTAACGTCATAACTGTTTAAATTGTATGTGGAAATAGGGTGAACACATTTGTGTCGTTTGTGAGCAAGAAGGCGATGATCTGATTGTTTGTATAGGTCCATGTATCTCTGCTTTTCATATACATTGTCTACCAAGTGATAGCGATGCGATGGAAGCTCAGAAGGAAGCCTGGTTGTGTCCAAATTGTAAGAACAAGACCCACGCGTGCTTTCACTGCAAACGGACTGGAATTGAAATGCTTGCAGACGATACATCAACTACAGGAAACTTGGAGTTGGAGAGGACCAAGAAACCTGTACGGAAATGCCGTGCATTATCATGTGGTAAATTCTATCATCAAGAATGTATCACGCAGTTTCCATTGGCGAGAATTGCCATCAATACGCATTTTATCTGTCCACTGCACACGTGTGCAGGCTGTAATCAATCAGGTGCACAACAAGAAGCTGTGAGATGTATGAGATGTCCTGTAGCTTATCACGCACGTTGCTTGCCATCGAATTGCGTACGGCAGATCTCGTCCAAGTTGATCATTTGTCCAAAACATGGAGAGCGATTAAAGATGACGGAAGATCGGGGCGAAGGTGGCAGTGGAAACGTTGAGGGTGAGGTGAAACCACTGGCAAAGAACGCAGTATACAAGCACTTGAGTGATGTGCAAGCACGGCAAGGAGAGAAAGAGGACGAGGTTATGTCGGAAGCGTCGGCTGTCAGTGTTAGCAGCGCGAGGAGGAAGGAAAAAAAGGAGAAGCGAGAGAAGCGCGACAAGAAGAAAAAGAAGAAGAAGAAGAAAAGAGATAAACATAAGGAAAAGAGGGACATTTCGGCATCGCAAGGCATTGGTGGATACGACAACAGGGATGAAGAAGGTGGTAGAATGAAGCGAAGGCGAGGTAAGAGAGAATCAATGGAAGCGAGTGGAAGTAGTTACTTTCAGCGGGCAGATACGGGCAATCCTTTGACGTTGTCTAGCCGTCACCCAGACCTTACAGCCGCTTCACAATCTGTCGGATCTGCAGAAGCGCGGGTATTTAGATCACCAACATTGTCGCTTACGCCTTTAGAAAGTCGTTCGACGGCTTCAAAGCGGGCAAAGGAGCGTTTGAAAGACGAATCAGGACAGAGCGACGATGATGATTCCGATGCCTCGCTGTGCAGTCCTTCGTCAAAGAAAAAGCTCTCACTTGTCTGCCATATGGTTAGTCAACAAAAAGGCACTCAATCAACGTCACGAAATGCGAGTTGGGTCGTCAAGGACGAAATGTGTGCTGCCAAGTCATCATCGACCATGGACGATTATGAAGTCAAAGAAGCAGCAAGATTTCTGGTTTCTTCTTCTCCAGTTCCTGTGAGCCCAGCATGTGATAAAGACTCATTAGCAGCTCGATCATCTACGGAAGAGGATACACCAGGTTTTAAAGTCGAACACATAAGTGATGATCATGAAGTATGCGATGAGGATGCTAGCGTTCATCGAGAGCGACTACAATCTACTGAAGGTATTTTAAAACTAGAGATTCCAAAGTCACCATCAGCCAGTGTACTCATTCCATCGTTATTGAATATTGTGACAGCAAGCTTGGTGCTCAAGCATGTACCTAGTGAAGATGACGATGACGATGATGAAGGTGCTGCTGAGTCTACAACGCTAACTGCGGATGCAACACCAAGATCTAATAGGGCATGTGGTCATAGTAAAAAGAAACGAAAGAACAAGGCTAAACGAGAAGCGCAGCGCATGCAAAGGAGGGAAACCAGCGACGAGGAGGAGAAAGAAGAAGAAGATGACGAAGAGGGGAACGAGGCGAAGTGGGTTCAATGTGACAGCTGCAAGAAGTGGCGAACAGTGCCGAGAGACTTTGATTTGGATACGATGCCCAAGCACTGGTACTGCAATATGAACACATGGGACGAACGGTACGCGTCCTGTGCCGTAGCTGAGGAAGTGGTGAAGACAAATATATCTCCTCAAGCAGGCAAGAGGAGATACAAACTAAAGAGATCAAAGTCAGCAGCTACTAGTACAGGAGATGATGGTGGCTATTCTTCTTCGGAATCAGGTCCCTTGAGAAGATGTGGAGGGTCATTTAAGGGCTCGTTATCTGACATGGCCGTGATAGAAGAAAAAGATAAAAGCTCTAGGTATAAGAACAAGGACAAAACGACCAAAAAGCGTAAGATTACGAAGCAACTCAAGGAAAAATACCGTGAAGTCAAATGGGTACAATGCGAGAGTACACAATGTGGTAAGTGGCGCATTGTCCCATCATCGATTAATTTCGATCGACTGCCAGCGGTTTGGTACTGTCATCTCAATACGTGGGCTCCTGAGCTAGCAAAATGCAGTGCACCCAACCCCACGGAGGTTGATGTGTTTTTGCTGAAACAGGCGAGGAAGGAAGGCCGTCCATCTAAAAAAGCAAGGGCGTCTTCATTGACTGGAGACGCTGCACCATCAGTATCTGTGTCGGCTACTTCGGGTGCCGCTATGGCGCCAACATCTTCTGTGAATGATTTAACAAACTTTGGTAAACTGAATTCAACGAAGCACGGTAAAGGCTCAAAGTTGACGGCATCAGGGGCAGGGAATGCAGTGTCGATAATGGAAGGGGCTAACAGCGGCAATAGCAACAGTACAGACGCAGTTTGCTCTATCAAAGGAAGGGGTGGGCGAGGACACAATAACAGCAGCAGCGGAAGTTCCAGTGGCATTAAAAAAACAGTGCTGGAGTGGGCGCAGTGTGAAAAGTGCAACAAGTGGCGTAAACTACCGCAGCATATTAAATCATCTACTCTACCCGATAAATGGTACTGCTCAATGAACCACTGGGATCCAACACATGCCAAGTGTAGTGTACCAGAGGAAGCAGACCAGGAGTCTCTACCACTACCAGCTCACCCTGGTTCGCAGTGGCACAAGGGAGGACAAAACAAGGGTCAGCGTCCTAGACGAGGTAAACTGAGCTACTCGGAACTACTGTATGGCAGTACGGGGCAGCTACGAAAAGCATACACGGGAGAATCTTCTACACAATCATTTGAGTATGAAGGCGTGACATACCACCGCGATGGCCAGTATAAGCACAGCAGTATGTATGTGTCCCCCGCAACGATGGCAGCGGCAGTTACGATGGCAGGGTGGAGCGGTAGTGACCGAGTGAAGCGAGAGACTACATGCAGTCATGATGTTGCAAAAGGCAGCTGTTTGAAGCATAATACGGTATTAGCAGCGGCACCTCAGGCGAACGTCGATCATGTGGCTGCGTTGGTACTTAAAAGCATGGATTTGCGCCGGCATCACAGTGTTTCAGAGCTTGTAGATGCTGTCAACTCAGCATACACAGCTTCAGAAGCTGCTCCGACTGGCCTCGCATCGCTGGTGGTGGTCACCGCTGCCTTGGGTCAGCTTGAACACCGTGGCTTGGTTGTGAAAGTGACTGAAGTATCTGACGAAAGTGGAGAAGACGACGAGTCTACTCAAAAGCAAAGAAGAGCAGAGACGCTCTTTGATGGAGCATTTTCATTACCTACTCATTATCGTAAGGTGCCCACGAGGCCTTTGAAAGCTTCAAAGTTTTGGAAGTTTGGGACCAATGTGGTGGTGCTCTCGCCCGTAAAGGATTTATAAAAAAGTTTGTGGCTAGATGGTTTGGATGTTATTGGCTCTTAAGATGGCGAAGCAAATTGGAATGGTAGGGCGGGACTCGTATTGCATGCGGTAAACGAGTATGACTTCGTCAAATCAGATCGGGAGTGCCAATGATGTCTTAGTGTGTGAGCAAGTCGCTTGTTACGCACCTTTAGGTTCCACGTTTCATACTAATCTAATCAGCCATGGCAGATTCCGGCCAGTTCAGGAGAGGTTTCGCTTAGGTGGAGGTATCAGGTGCACATTGGTGGCTCCAAATTGCTCTCGTCAATCTTTGGTCCAATGTTTCGTCTAACACGATTGCAGCATGTTTGAGCTGGGCGTTAGCAATGCATTACGACAAGTCAGTTTCAGGTTGCCGCGGTATGAACGTAAAAAGGATGACTCGATCGGATGAGCTTGTTGTTCGACGTGGACCTGAAGTCGGCTGGATCACCCAACATGTTGCGCCCGGATGAATACTAGTAAAATATATTCGTTAGGGGAGACTCTGACCATTTAAACAATAGCAAACTATAAGAGAACGAACACGCTTTTGCTTCAATCGTCAAGTCATTACCATATGATGTTCTGCTTAAATGGCACAACTGATTGGTTGCCAAGTCTTAGAGGCATCAACGTACTTGATCAGTCAGTCTTCTTTTCTTCCTTGTCAATAGCAGATGAGCTCGAAGAGCTACCATAGATTCGGTTGTAACGGTGCCGCAATTCGTCTCGGCGGCGCTCTGCCTCAGTCTGTGGAACCGATGGAATCGTTGACTCAACAGGACACGATGGTAGGGTCTCACTAGCAGCAGCACTTGACGGAAGAGTTCTCTCTTGCTGACTCAACGAAGAGATCGGACGCTTGTCCTCTAGCTCTTCTTCCAAACTTCCTGTGCCTGCAGCGGCTCCACCTGCCAAAGCTGAGGAATGCACAACAGACGATATGGGAGCTGAAAAGGCTGCGGATGTCACAGGATCAGGAACTGCTGCTGGAGCTGTTTGAACTGGAACGCTGGATTGTGACTGCGTTGTTGCCTCGGACGGCGCTGGTGGTCGTGGAGACGCTTGAGCCTGAAGTGGAGCGCCGTACTGTGCTGCTGAAGCTTGTAACACCGCCAGATGGGCATGTAGAAATTCAATTTGGCGTTGAATACTTTCTGAATCCAGACCTGGCTGCTGCATTCCTTGCGGTGGCATATGGCCAAGCGGAGGTACGCCGAACATCGCACCGTACGCTCCTGGCATCCCAAAACCAAAAGGTGGCCCCATTCCAGGACCAAACATCATTGGTGACATGTACGGGTTTGGATAACCAGGAGCAAACGGATAACCAGGAGCAAACGGATAACCAGGTGCAGCTGCAGGAATGCCACCAGAAACTGGAGGTGTCTCGGCTTGTACAGCTCCTGCAGGCGTTCCTGCACTAGAAGCTTGATGCTCATTTGCTGGAGGAGCTCCACGCCCAAACATTGCCCCAAAACGGAACCGCGGAGCAGCCGGCGCAGCACGCGCTTGACCGTCAACTCCCGGCACTTGATTCCCTGCTAATGGTCCGGCTGCATTATTATTTTCCGCAGCAGCTCTTGCGCCACGAGCCGCCGGTCCTTCAGGATCGGCTGAGGTGGGCGGACGCGAATTGGTCGGAATAGTAGACCGGCACGTAGGGCACGTCTGCTGGCGTTGGACCCACATTTTGAGGCAGTCGACATGAAAAATGTGCGAACATGGTAATTTCTTGCATCCACCAGGGGTCATTTCCTCACGACAGATAATGCACGTTCTGTCCGTTTCCTGAAGCTCTTCCTCAGTTGGATTTGGAAAATGCTCATTTAAATGCGTACTGATCTTTCTGTAGCGGAAATACGATACAATACGTCGCTGCAAATTCTTAATAGAGACCCAGAGATCACGCACAATGTGCAATGGCATGCCGTAGTAGGTAAAAATAAGCATGAAGAAGACCTACGTACGTACGTACAACAGCAACAAATATACAACAAAAACTCACAATGAGCACAAAGTGCCACACACAAAAAAAACTTGCATAAAAATCCAAGGAAAAACAAATAAAACAGCCACGACGTACCAAGTAGACAACAAGCTTGATAATTTCAGACACAAGTTCCAAGTAAAAGAGGTACGTAAACTTGTTTGTCCACGTGCCGTCCATCCGAGTGTCCACCATATACAGCACGTAGCGTAGAATAATGGCTACAATAGTCACTAATAAGATAAGAAACTACACATAAATAAATTAGAAAATCATACACAATATGGTCCGATCAATGCTAGATGAAAAGATGCAGCTAAACATCCAACTATCCAACAGAATAATAATAATATCTTACCTCGGATCCAAAAAGGATAAAAACCGATGGTCCAGTTTCCATCACTTTAAGTGAACACCATATCACAAACCCCGTATCAAGAGCTGCAAGCAATGTCACAAGTCCCACAAGTCGCATGTGTGTAAACCGAGAGATAATATCCGTTTGTTCAATCTAGCATTGATTCAAAAAATCCAACAGAAAATATCCGTCATACAAACATAAAAAATCCAAACCAAAATCCACCCTATTTTTCACCATCAATTATCCAAGACATACAAATTCAATGCGAGCTTGAGCAAGCCAATGAAAAATCTCGAGAAACATGAGCGCCGTGAATAACACCATCACGTGAAATGAGATCTCGTCACGAAAGATCGTGAGTGCTAAACACGTTTCCGTCACAGCGTAGCGGACATTTTCATGTAATAACTAGTCCATAATAAATGTTATCACGTTAACGAAACAAAAACAAAAAAGAAACCTCCGATAATGAATAAAGTGCACAGTATTTAATCGAAATAAAAGCGCTTTTACCTCGACTTCTGCATCCCGCAATGGACCAAGGAAAAAAGACTTGACAAGTCGACCAAAGAGTGCCGTAAGCACAAGGCTAGCATTGCCCAGGATCAAAACGCTGACCTTTGATGTTACAAGGTAGATAATCGATGGATAAAACTGTTGACGTGTGAGATACGTATAACAAAGCAGACCAAGACACGCCACGAGACTTGCACTTGAATAAAGCCAGAACTTCATCCTTTTATGATTGAATTAATTACGTGGCAGAACGAATAGGTCATTTTATCGAGATAAAATCCACTTCTTTTTTGTGCACCTTTTGTCAAAGGCTGAGGATATTTAACTTAAAAATTAAAATCAGCTAAAACTGGGTAATGAATGATCCGATAAATCCACGAGAATTTCCTCAAAAACCTTTCGAGATGGTGCCCAATGTCGAGTCGCCTTTGGATGAATAATCTCGGATGATGCAATCAATGGTTGACGATACGTTCGTCCCACCAGAATGTAATCTAATCGCTCCGTGATCCCACCCGAACTCGGACCATCCACTGCAAGTAACCTCGTATGTGGATCAAAACTATAGATTGGTGACTGGGCATTAGTGCTGGTTCGTAAACATCCAAGAGATTCATCATTGCAATGTATTCATCACTAAGAGACTTGGGACGATTGTCCATATACTTGTTGACATTCATATCTCCAGCATAAACAAGAACTTGATGCTCTGGAATTGACAAGAAAGTGACAAACTCTTTCATCAAAACAAGTTGACAAGTTCGTGTTGTGACTGCAAGTGAAGTCTCCCAAGCTTGTAAATGCGTTCCCACAATATGAACAGTCTCGATTGTTTCAGCACCAAAGTTATTCAGCACTGGCACACGTACTTGGAAATACATCACACCCTAATCAGCATATCGATCGTCACTGGAAGCAACCGTACCAAAAGTCATTTCTTTGCTCATGGCAAAACAACCACCGTCAATTGCTTTCTTGGAACCTAGAAGCGATGCATCACCTACAACCTTTGTCGCATAGATAAACCCTTGTGATTTCGTCTTAGACACGAGCTTTTCCTGTGCAGAACTGCAAAAAGCTTCACAAGAAATCACAATGTCCACATTGAGAGGCGCAATACAGCGTGGTATTGCCGATGCGCGCTGCAAAGCCCACGTAGAGACCTTTTCATTCAAGGATGACACGATACTCGGTAGCAACCAGACATTATACACCATGACACGCAGCTTAAAAGAAGCGGTACTCCTTCGCGCACAGTAGAAACTGAACCGTTTGTGTCTTGCGCTAATGGCTCAGGTATCGCTGGTGTCTCTGGACAGACATCTTTCTTTTGCTCGTCGTGAATGGTTCTCAGCTGAAATACCGCTGGCGAATACTTTGAAGCGGTGATCAACTCACCATGCATACCAAGAAGTTGACCGGCCCACTCGCCAGCAACAAGTTGCATAAAGACTTGACTGCCGCACCGAAGTGGTCCTGTATGTCCATACGGCTAGACAAGCCTCAAGGCCGTTTTGTACGAATCACCTGCTGTAGCCATCGCATGACCTCGTTTTGATTCAAGAGGCGCAACTATACGAACCGATTTACGCACTTTGTGGCAGTGTAGATATGTCGCATCTCCAAACCTTGCCGCACGTCGTGGCCCTGAGAACTGCTCTGCATTCTCCACAGCGAATTCAATCCTTGTACAACGTCACCGTCTGTGACTTTCACGTACGACGTTTTATTAAACTGATACTTGCCAACTCCTCCACCCAAGGCAAACACCGTCGACAAGGATCCCGTCAGTGCTACGCCAGCAACCCCAGCAGCTACCGCTGCCATTTTCTGTAAGCCAGAAAGCGCACTTTTCGTTTTCAGCCCAACGAAAAGTCCACCAAGTGTCGTTAATGCAATCGTATTACCAACATGTACAACCTTCTCCCATCTTGAAGGTGCAATACTGCATATTTTTTCTAGTACTGGTGATTAAAGCCGTATGACTCGTACTTGCGGATCCTTTCACGTATCGTAGCTCTTTTTCTCCTTGAGCTCCTTCTGTACGAGGTGACATGGAATCTCGAAACATAGTGGACGCATGCACACAATCCATCTCAAGTAAATTATGAAGAAACTGATTCAATTGTTTTCAAAGCTTTTCCGCCGTTTCCGATTCCATTGAGTGAGCTCGAAACGTGTCCCAATGAAGTCGTGATGCTTTTGGAAACGAAATGCCTCGGGTGTGAAAATCGTGGTTGAAAACACGCTCTAGGACCGTATAAAGTTGTTGGAAATCACTATAGGAACGTTGGATGAACCACATTGTATGCGTTTGAAGAAAACGGAGCAGAATTTCATACTTCAAAGCTCATTCTTCGTATTGGATGGAAAAACGCGTGTAATGCCAACGTCAACGTCGGTTGTAAGCCATGAAGATGATGATCGACAATGGTTTATTGTATGTAAACGTGATTTTATCATAGTTCGATAGACGATACGAGGAGGAGAAGGAGGGAAGAATGAGCTTTACAACGTCATGTGACGATTCGATGAGATGGCGGATAAAAGCATTGATATTAGAAGATATAGGTACGAGTGACAGCCGATAGAGCCTGTTGGTCATGAAGCAGCATCGTCTATAGCCACTTGACCGTCACGGAAGTAATGTAGCGTGTACTTCGATATGTTGACGGAACAGTGGAATGCTCTCTAGTTGAGACGTGTATGGAGTTTACGCTCAGCACTTGGTGGGCCGCTGCTTTGTTAAATATGTGTATGTGATGCTAATTACTCTGTTGTCGACCAACAGCGACTCAATATGACCATACCGATAGTATTGATACTGAAGAAACGTTTCAAAAAATTCGAGGTAACACCAGCAAAAATGGACGGAGAAGTTGAATACTGAGCACAGAGCTTAGTACTCAAGGCGAAAGCATGCATATCAATTACATGCTAGTCAGTCGAGCAGCATTGCACTGACTTTAGGTCGATTGCTGGAAGCAGGAAGTGCAAAGTCGAATCGTTGCTTGATAGCTTTGGAACTATGTTTACTAAAGGGCAAAAAGACAAAGCGGAATCCTGCTTGGCAGAACCCAGGCGAGCATAGTGAAGAAGAATTCGTTGCTGCCCAAAAGCGGTGAAAGCGTCGCAAAATGGCAAGAGGGAGTAGAGTTAGCCGTTTGAGGGTGTTGGGAGCTCACAAAATGCGACGCCGCTTCTTAATGAATGAATAGATTATGGCCACCGAGCATATGCTGGTGCGAACATAAAGGGAACACCGAGCATATGCTGTGATCCCGAGCAATGTGTAGCCGAGGTAGTGTTGGCTTTTTCCATCTAGAGTGTCCAGCTTACAAATTCAGTATAGCGTTTCAATCTTCATGTATCTTTTCGAGTTGTCGGATCCACGTCGAATGCTTATGCATCGTTAGAAGAGCTAGCTTCCGAGCCTGCTGACCATCCTTTACGAGTGGAACCCAACCACGCGTAACGCCACCCGCGAATATACAACATCCATATGCGTGGATGGTAGTGGTCATCCAGATCGTCATCAAGATTGTTGCTCACCTCGACATTTACCGCATCGGTAGGACCAAAATTAGAGCCAGAGGCCAGTCTAGCCTGCGTATCGTCATGCTTCACAAGCTTGCGTTGGGGAGGCGATCACAGGAACGCACGCAAATGATCTTTGAACGTAAAATAAACGCCATTTGCTGCGCATTTTGCTGCCCAGTACTTCTGCAACCGCACAAAATTGTAATATATGGTCAGATTGAGATGATTCAATCGATATGCATCATTAATATGCCACCTGGTGGTTGCACGCCTCAGGGGTTTGTGGTGAGAAGAAGTTCGAGCTGCTCAAAGCTTACTGCAGACACAGCAATATCAATTTTAATGAATATTCCAACCAGTTTTTAGGTACCTTTGTCATGCAAGACGCTCACACGATGAGTGAATTTACAGCAAACTCAGTCTACTGGCTCAGCTTTTTCTAGACACGATGGACATTTAACAAAAACAGCATAAGTCTACCGCACAAACAAAACAGGATTGGTGAGAAAGATCATACAAACCGCGAAGTCTGTGCTGTCACCATCGGCCAGTAGCATTAACAACGCAAGCAGTTCTTTGTCTCGATCCAAAGTTTGGCTGAAGTGGTCTGTTACAAAAAAGAATACCGAAATCATCAACATTGGGACTGGTATATGCATGTGACATCATCCGACGCTGTCATCACCTTTTTCTGCCGTGGTCAGCGACGCGGACGCCACGCACCCTATCCCCGAGGCAAATCAGAGGTATCTTTTGTTGCATCATCGATCGTACCTGTATTTTGTCAAACAGCAGATACAATCTCTTTCAAATTGATACGCTTACAAACTCGCTGTGCGTTTGAACGTGAGCAAGCTGATGTACGCGCTCAGAACTTGTGATCGGTCCACAGGCAGTTGTAATCATCAGGATGCCAAATAGAGTGCACTCGTGGAAAATTGGCCACATCTCGAAGTGCTTTGCAGTCGACGGCTTGGGGAATCCAAATCGATTGTAGCTTTAGCAGCTTTGGAATGCCTTCCAATGACGTCAAAGGCGTGAGTCCCAGGTCCAGTATTTCTAGATGTGTCAAGGTGGCCAAAGGAGTCGCGTCCTCAATCTTGGTCGCATTCAGCCACAAACGCCGCATCTTATGCATTCCGGAAAGCAGTGCAGCGTCTTTAAAGTCTACACGACCAACCAGCGAAAGCTCTTCTAGTTCTGTAAGCTGCAAAAGACAGTCGAGACTAGTCTGGTGATCCTTGTGTCGACGTGCTAGCTGCCGCTTTCTACGATCAAGGAGGGATAGCACTAATTTCTTCAAGTTCACAAGCGCACCCAAAGGAGACAAGTCTTCGAAAAGTACGTCAAGCAGCTCAAGTTCAGTCAGCTGCACAAAACCCTCGAGAGGGAGAAGATCCATAGCTTGCGCCATAGGAGGCAGCGACATCGATAGCCTCGTAAATGCTGGCATTTCACCCACGGCCACAATCTGTGCCAAGTCGTCAGCACACCACTGTTGCAGTCGCAGGTGGTGCAGTGTCGATGACAACAAAGTCAGAGGCGCGTAGTTCGTGAGCGGTGGCAACTCGAGCGATGTCAGCCCACCCTGTCTACTTACACATTTAAGAAACGAACTAGGGACCCGATGTGCCATGGGGATCACATGTCCTCTCGTAGAGACAACAGTCGCTCCTCTCTCTTCAACATCTTCTTGCAATACGTCGGCAATATCTTCTTGATAATTGTGTTTATACATGCTCAACTTTTTCAGTTTGTGCAAACAACTCAGCCATTCATAATTTGCAATCGGTTCTAGCAGCAGAGGCTCCAGTGGCGCACCTCTCTCACGGGTGTCTAGTAGCAGCTGCTCTAGTGATTCCAATGCAGCTAATGGTCGTCGGTTGCCAACGTGTGTCCCACGAATGTCCAAGTAGACGAGATTTCGCAATTTCGTCACAAAGTCAAGATCCGTTAGTCTCGTGTTTTGCAAGTGCAAAATCTCAAGTTCTCGGCAATTGAGCTTGAACGTGAATGAATCCGATGCACTAATATTTGTCGCCTTGAGTGATCGTAATGCTGTTAAATGCTCGAGTACACTCAAATCCGTTGTGATCCAATTTTTACTGATATCAAGCGTTTCTAATTGTGAAAGCGCCTTTAACGCACTAAACTCGACAACTCTTGTCTCGGATACATCCAGTACATGTAATTCCAATAGTGTATCTAAGATTGATAATGAAGTAACATTAGTACGTCTGAGACTTAATGATTGTAATTGTGGTAACATGACAAGTGGAGAGATATCAACAATGTCCGTCTCTGATAAATTTAATACCTTCAAGTGACCTCTTGTTGACTGAATGTTACTTGTTGGTAGTCCAGTCGTTTGATCGAGTAATTCTGATAACGTAATATCTGCATCTGAGACATTTAGTTCTTCAAGTTGTGGTAGTAATTGAAGTATAGCAGCAAGATTGATTACGTATTCGTCAGAAACGGGCTCTTTGTTTTCCTGTGTCCAATAAGGATAGTCCCAAAATTGAAGCGAACGTAAACCGGATAAAACCGACAGAAGATTCAATAAATGTACCCCTGTATGTGGTACCCTTACACTTGTAATAGACCGAAGCATATCAGGTTTCATATGGTGGATAAAACTGTTTACATAGTAACTGGCAGTCGGTAATTTATCGGTATCTCTTTTATTTGAACCTTTTGTTTCTAATGGCGGTGGAGGGACGCGAAGAACACCTTGAGATAAAACAAAGCGACGTAGATCGGAGCTAGCAAGAGAACGACTGCATGAAGATAGAGATTGCCAATCACGGAAGGATAGAAAACCGACAATGAAGCGCAACACGTCCGTCTTGCCGTCCAAGTCGCCCAAGACATTCTCCATTGCAGAGAATCGAAATAATATCCGGATGCTTTTCAAAATATCGATTGCATACTTAATCGAGTCTACCCTGTAATATATTGAAAAAGTATCGAAAGTTATATTTTATGCTTTTTGTTATTGATTCAATACAATTTTGGAATATTTGATAACGTCAAAATTGCAACTATGACAAATTAAGCCAGCACTGCGACCCAAATTACTCAGCAGAAGCGCACGATTTCAAGCACGTGCTCCTAATAAAACGAAATTCCAGTTTCGACAGTGACTACTACAACGTTTTGTTGGTCACACAATAGGTAGTACATATCCGATAACAAAAGTCATATTGAGCTCATAGAAAACCCTTTAGTGTGTATGCAACTGGAATTTCTTGAAACAAGACAATCGACTGACTATAAGTTCGTTAGCTTTACACGCCATGATTACAGGCGTTACAAAGCACGATACAGTCGAAGATCCATTGCAGCTTGCTGCATAACTAGTACGAAAACCGTTTTAATAATGGATCACTGAAAATATCGGAGCATGCCTTGTCGAGCACTATTTCTATTCTCACTTTCTTACTTGCCTTCGACTATTCCTTTCAGCCGAACCCCTTTTTCTAAGCACGAATGCTCAGCTTTAATGATACATGCGACGGCAGCGATGGATGGTACCCAGTCTCCGTAGTTGGCCAGGAAGGATACTACTGCACCCCAGGGTCCGGTGTGCGCTGGAGCGCTTGAAACTGCCCCAGTCCGCACGGCAGACTTATCTATGAATCCACCCTGTGTATCTTTGAGTAAAGGAACGAATGGGTGTTCCCAACACTGAATGTCCGACGCTCGAATTATCAGCTAAATTTGAGACCGAGACATATACAACCTTGTCCGTCGTCGACAACTGTGTGGTTGCTCCTGACACGCCCACTACGGCACCCCTATCTGGTAAATCCAAAGGAACGGCGCATACTTCCCCAGTGAAGACTGCCCAATCATTGCACAAATCCAAACCGTCGACGACAGCACCAAACACACTTGAGAAAACGCCTTTCGTTACTGAAACTCTACCGACAATTCAGCCGACAAAGCAGCCCAGTGGACTTAACCCTCTAAAGATCGATCCAGTCATCTTTTCTCCTCCGCTTATGATCGAGACGGAATCCTCCACTGACACCATGGTACCATACAATACATCTAAGACTAAGACGCAGTCAGCAACCGATGGTGACTCGACGGAAATAAAGCACAGTAAAGACGCCAGCAATACCCCTTGCGATAAGCAGTCAAGCAAGGTTGCTTCGACTTCTTCAGACATAAAAGCCCTATTGTACCCCAGCGGGACCGATGCCGCTGCTCTCGAAACTGCTGGTTCCGAGACTGCTGCGCATGATACCAATGCATTTGATAACAATGCACCTGAGATCGAAGTGACGATTAGTACATTGGATAATCGCAGACTTCTTCGCAAATACGGATGAGTGAGCAACTTTTGCTATCAGCTGAAACGCGCAAAGTGGCGGCTCCTAGCCAAGTCGTGCTTCTTATTATATTTTCCAACTATATCTTCCATGTTGATCATAAGACGCAAAGTTTGCACGTATAAATTACAAATAACCTATTGCAAATAGCCTTGCACTACTCCTTGTCAGTGCAAGTATAGGACAGGAATTTTTCTGAGAATAGGACCGTTATTTGAACGGTCTTGATCACGATGACAGGAATATGGAATCAAGTCCACGCAGAAAGGGGACCAAATAGTACATACGTTGACGACAATCTGTAAAGGGTAGAGATTAAAGACTGTGGATGCATGGTATATACACCTGAAAGCCGTTAAAGGTATGCAAAAGACGAGAAATGTATTAAAGAAATTGACGCCTTGTTTGTACGCAGAGGTATAATGACTGCATAATGACAACCTCATGCAAAGTACGACGGTAGCTCAACCTGCTGGTTCGAAGGAGCAAAATGCCGTCTGTCACAAGTTTAGGCCGAAAAAACAAGTAGACCGCAGGAAATAGTAATTTCACTCTTCTTCAGCAACTTTTGTGCCCATGAGCAGTGTTGCGCTGCGACATCACGACAAACATCTACCAAGGATGTAGTATTGTAAAGAAAATGAGACTCAAAATCTCGCGATGCTTGTTTAGGATTTGTGAAGTTTCTGCTCGTCAAGCTGGATGCCAAAGGACCTAAGGCCAAAAGCAGCGGAAGACCACGAGAATGGTATATGGAAATAAAGTTACTAACGCTATGAAAGCGTTAGTAACTTTATTTCATGCAAAAATGTTTTGTTGATTGCTTTTGGCATCTGGAGCGCGCGTGCTCTTCACGCTGCAAGAATATTTGCCTTTATTCATTCATCACCATTGTGCATCGATTGCAGACTTCTCATCCTTCGCATTCAATGTTTTTCATTTGAGCATCATTTATAGAATAAGCTTGTATAAGCTGTAGCTTTAGGACCGCTGGACTCATGCATAGACACCTTGCATATTTCATGTTGCGCTTAAGCAAAGCTCCGCTTTCGTTCTATGCCCACTAACGTGTGCGCTGACTAAGCCAATGCAGCCCCCAACAGGAAGAACAGACTGGCACCAGTATTGGTCTTATAGCAACAAACTCACCTTCATGAAGTCGTTCCTTCTACTGTAATAATCCGTTTTAGTAGTTCAATGTCCAACTCAAGCTTCAAACATTGCTTTCAGTCAAATGTCAATCGATACATAGTCTTTTGAGTCATGCGACTTTAGTATTTCGTATCCAGTGAAATGCCCAGAGAAAGGCAACATGCATCTTCTGCCTGATTCTAAATTTCAGTCCTACAACAACGAAGTGCTGACGGTCATACGTTTTCAAATTTTTGGTCAAGCTCGAGCCAGTTAGCGCCTCATCTCGGGCAACACCCTTCGACGTGCATTCCAGGCATCTGGTCAAATATACCGTTGTAATCGATAGTCTCTCATCGGATCTTATTTCTCGCACTCATATTACGAGAATGTGCCATGAAACACACATCTCGTTCGAGACGTAGCTGCCAATAATAGAGCAGACAGTACTACTGACCCATTCGCGCTATATTTCTTCATTATCACCGTCTCCTTCCTTGTGCCATGGCTTAGAATATACAGTGTCCTAGCGTACTTACCTACTGCACAGTACGTCATACCCTTTTCTAATCCAACCGACCACTCAAGTTGATGCCATGACCATACCTTATTCTTTCCGCTTCTACCGGCGTCAGCAACGGGCTCAGATGAGACCCATATTCGCCAACGTGAACGTGTGTATCAAGCAATCGGCACATATATGGATGATGTATCTACTACCACAGAACCCGACAAGATTATCACTTGGACCACTTGAGCGCTATACATCAAATACTACTATCTTACCAAGTACCTCTAGCCTGTGGCTGTCATCTATGCAATGATAAAATATTGTAGACCCGATGACAGTTGAACAATTAGCTGCTCCCCAACGAGGAGAATTACGAGTTATATGATGAAGAACAGACAAGGATAGGTCTATATGATCTCGTTCTTACCAAATTTTGAGAGAGCTACAAAAACTCGACAGCTTATAATTCTCAGAATCATTGGCAACGTCATTTGGTGATGACAAGTGTCTAAATGTCGTATCGCATGCACATGTCGCCCAATTTTGCCTTGATACACAGCACATTCTCGTGGCCGATATCGATGAGCCACTTTTGGTCATGAGACCTCATTCATGTCAGGAGCTCGAGAGTATTTCAAGTATTTTTTTTATATTAGCTTTCATATGAAAACAAAATTGCTAAAGAATTGAATCAACATCTTGTCACTTAGACGATCGATACATGGAGTAAGGTTCTTTTTTTTTTCATGCCCCTCTACTTATCCCTATCAACAAGGAACGTTGCATAACCCACGTGATACTACTATCTAGTATATAGATAGTATCACTTAAACAATCAGTTACATTCCGCAGGGTGAATTTCAGAGCGTATTAATCTTTCGCCTTAAACAATCAGTAAATTACAAACCTTGTACTTCTTATGGTCTACTCTGAAAGCGGTTGTGCACGGTTTCTACATCTGGTATACGTAACCTGGCGGACTACATGTGCGTTTTGCTACGTTGTTGCTGTGATACACAAATAAATCGACATGTATGACGGCAAATGTACCCGATTTCTTCAGAAATATCTAGAAAAAGGTGAAAGATTAAGACACTACTGGATGAGAATATCACAATGACATTCCATTTTGGCCACCTAAAGTCGGGTCTGCATAGCAATTTTTTGCTACCTCCTGTTGGTATATTCACGTTAGTGATGAAACATGACAAAGAGAAAGCTATAATTCTATCGCACATGTACGAGATGGAAGGTGAACATATCAATTTAGTAAAGACAAAGTGGAAAAAGGACAAGATGGATGCGTGGGATTGGGTATGGGTCTTTAAAGTCAAGATCAAACAAATTAACGCTTTGTTATACGCAAGCGATTGTTAACGTCGGCAGTAATCAACAAAAGGTACCAATTCTCTGCTGATGATGTCCAACATTTCTAGTTGTAACGAACAACGACACGACCATTCAGACGCTGCGTCGGGCGAGCATTGTTGCCGTTGTCCGTGATGCTGTACTTGATCAAGTCCTGGTGAAGACGGTCAAAGTCGGCGGCAGAGATCTGAATCGGGTCCTGGACTACCCACCAGTCAACCGTTGCATCACAGGGTGGGGTCGTGAGACTTCCTGCGTAGTTGTAGATGCCACCGGTTTTATAGGCTTTCTGGACCAGAGAAGAGTACGATCTCCTGTATATCAGAAACACCAGAAAACATTAGCGAGTTGTCACGAGATAAAAAACCACGCAATGAAAGCTTACAGATTCACCAGCAACGCATTGGAGCGCTCAGTAGAGCCGACCTGCTCAAGAGCGTCAAGAACAGGACCCAGCCATTCGTCTGATTTTGAGCAGATTCTAAGGAAGACGCCCACTACTAAAATTGCCGAGCGGTCCTCGGTCAAGTGCACAAAGTGAACTTCACCGTCCATCTGTTTGCCGTTTAGCGTGTGCTCTGAAGGAGCGTGCAGGTGGAACTGTGCCATATTATAGGCCGCGCCGTTCAACGAAACAGCACAGTTACCTAGACATAGAACCAGTTACATTAGAATCGATCATGATTAAGATGATAGAAATGCATGTCAAAGTCGTGCTCGCTTACCTCCAACAACGTCCGCCTCGAGCGGTTCTTGAGGATTCCATAGATTGAACTGGGGGCAGTTTCCACTGAAGACTAGCGGAAGCTTCTGGCCCTTGGTGGATCTTGGAGTCGTGACGATGTCGATAGGAGACTGACGATCACTGCCGCAGGATTTCCATTTATCGGCCCACTGGGAGGGGTGCACCATGTTGGGGTTTTGTCGGTAGCCCCATGGTCGACCTTGGGTAGTAACATTGGCGGACTCGGTCAGGGCGAATGTCACAATGACAGCAGAGATCGAAGCAAAGAACTTCATTTTGCCGCAACGCGTTGAAGACGGAAGTTAAAAGTGTTAGAAGTAGAATTGATGCGTTGAAAGCAAATTGAGGAATGAGCAATTGGTAAAACAGCGTTTGATTCTAGGATGGTGCGATGCAGACAAAGAATTTTGGTTTGGCTTTACAATCGTGTTAGGAGAGCTTTTGAAATAGGTCATATCCATTACTAAATTCAGTACATATGTTGATCGCCTATTGCAAAACAAGCTGTGGTGGATTTATCATATGTTAAGGTAACGCATCATTCCAACAATACAGCATTGACGTTGCACAAAACGTGGTCTTATTGCAAGTCGAATTCGTAATCTCCTAGCGTGATGTATAGGGTCTGACATCTGCCCGGGTCAAAAAAGATTAACTATTGCCGAATTCAATTCTCGTAAAGGGTATAAAAAATATTGAAAAGCACTCTAACTGTCAACGGGACAACGAATAGGTGCTTACCTTCTATTGCTCAAGGACATCAGATACAAAGCAAGCATACGCACCTTTGTATCGGTAATATGTCCATCTGATTAAGACTAAACTTTAGCTGCAGTAAAAGCTTGAAGTCACACCCATTGTGCCACAATGACAGATGAAGGAATAACCAAGTGATCTTCACTTGGAATCCAGTTGCTCATATCGAATTAGCTCTTGACGAATAGCCCAATAAATATCATCAAGAGATGGATAGTGAAGAGAGAAAACACAATGCTAACGCGCATAAACACCGCGATACCACAGAACAAGAAGACAAAGAAGGGGAAACGATACGCCCTTTTGATCCCTTAGTCTACTAGTTTCAATATGCAGGGAGTAATTGCAGAGCTTATCGCTGCATTCATTGCGGCACCTATTTTGTCTTGTAGAAGGAATATCGTTCGTATGTCTTACGGCCGTCAGCCAAGTGTTCTTGAATTTCGTACTCTTTTCCTGTTTGTAATCTTTTCGTCAGCTTCTGATAAGCATCTGCGTATCTTTGAGTGTTAGTATAGTACTCTCTTTGTTTTAGAGCGAGGGGTAATGAATGACTCTGAAGACCTTTCCGGATCCTCAGTCTAACGCTTGGTTCTTAACGTTGATACACGTGTCAGCATCTAGACAGGTATTTGTTTTACACAGATGCCCAGCTGGGCATACGATCTCTCGCTTTTTCAGTTGTAGATATTAACTATTGTACAATGAACGAATTCCTACCGGATCCTCTCTTAAGACGAGCTCAACGAGAAGCGACTATTGCAACCACTCTGTCCCGAACAACATTAGCAAGAATCTTTCCTATCTTCTAAGCGTTACTACAAGGTCGGTATGTGGTTTAAGTCTTCGTATATTCGACAGTATATCGATACCAGCACAGTTTTTGCGGAGACCACCACCCCACGCGATGAAGAAGGTTGCATTTTCATGTCCAAACAAGCTGCAGTCACCCCGAAGTCGGACAATTTTGTCAAAAAACTAGGTCTTGATGATCAGCTTGCGCTCACTTGGTGCCTCAAAAGCAGACTTTGTGCAGGATGAGGAGCATAAGTTTACAGTGCTATATAAGTTTTTGAAAACATGAGGCGCAGAAAAATGCTATGACGCCATAATAAAAGAACGCAGAGGACAGATAACACTTCTTGGATGTTCTGTGTGATGCTTTTTGATCTGCTCATGCAAACCTCAAACAAGCAACGTAACCGTCCATATCATCGCTAGCCCAACAGCAGACAGAGAAGAATCATACGAATTGCGCTACAAAAGGCGTCAAGTAGTGCGTATATGAAGTGTACATGACAGATTAAGATGCTTCCTGCAATGTACAACTAGATATTGACGAGGTGGTAGTTACAGCACATGAGAGAAAGGCTATTCCTTACTTAGTCAAAAAGAGCTCACTCTGATTCAAAGTACGTTTGCCGCCAATGCAACAAACGTAACGATGGTAAATATCGTCAATATGGATATCTTCTAATAAACTTAATCTCTGGTATGCTACAGGTATCAACATAAAGATCAGAACGCTACTGCGCTACTTAAGATCAAATAAGGACCACATCAACATTTTCTGGTGTAAGAAATTGCCACTTCTGCTCATGATCATGCTTGCTGGTTTCAATTGACTCGGTGGTATTTTCTGTTGTATAAGTTACGCACTTGATCTTATGCAAGAAGAAAAAGATCAAGATATGCAAAAACCAAACGATGGCGTCTGTACATTGCAAATGTTTTGTCTGCTCAACGAGCATGACGGCGACCTTTTGCACCTTGCCGCCTCAGAAGGACCTGCAGTTAGTAGAAGAAGAAAAACATCAATTGAGGCATTACTTACTTTTATCAGTACGGAGGATGGTTGAAATGCTATTACTCTTGGTCTAACGTCCCATTTTAGAAACTAACTAATTATCAATGTCCATTGATTCTCAGAAGCTCCCAAGTGCTGTGGGGGACAAGCTGTGCCTGATGTTTGAACCCGTGTGCAAGTTTTGCTACAATTTCAGCTGCGGTAGGACGGTTCTGCGGGTATTGCTGCAAACAACAGCCGGTCAGGTCGACAAGTGCCAACGGACAGTCGTCTGAAAAGGCACGACGCATCTTTTCCTCTTCACGGCGCTTAATCTTTGCCTCCTGTATTTGACCACGAGTTGACTTGTGCTCATCGTTTCAGTACGGGTGATCAATCATCTGTATCAATTCGGACAAAACAACCCCGAATGAAAAATTATCGACTCCCTCATGATAATCTTGACCTAGAAAGACCTCAGGAGCGATCCAAACGACGTACCAACATCAGCAATCATAAGCGTCTCCACCACGTCACAAGCGTCTCTACCAAGGAATGTGTCCGTAGCTTTGTCTCCAAGTACATACTGAGCCACATATTCTTGGGCTTTAGATCGCGATGAATGCTCTTGGGTTTTAGTGCGCGCAGGTACGACAGCGCTCATCATCCCGCACAGGTTTCTGCAACATGTAGCGGGATAATGAGTTTGTGTGACTCCCACGAGAGTCGCTTGCACTTCTGATAAAGCATTTCAATTGACTAATGATCGATCCGAAAATTTGTTACCTCATTAATGGTCATTCTTACTAATCATTAGCACATTGCTACACCGTAACATAAACACTTTTATTTGATTACATTTGTAGTTCATATCATAGCAAGATTGGTCAATGGCATAGGTTACCATCAATACAGTACTGTAGCGATCCTATTAGTCTCTTAATACGTGGGTGGTCCATATAATAATTATACGGCTGTAAATGCTCTTGTTCATGTCTGACAAGTGTTCAGAAGCGGGGTTTTCTCCCCGTCTAAAATACTGGTAATAATGATAATTATCATAGGTATCTGATGAATTCTTCATCCGGGAGATATGTTGCCCATTCCAAACGTCATGAACAGATCTATGGTTATTTCTACATTGTGAAAGGTTAGCTTGTGTATGTTTGTCTTTGTTTACCTGCTGCAGAGAAATACCTTTGAACCACTTGACGGTTGCATACATGTGAAATTATCTATCACAATTGCTCCAATCCATTCTATGCGGTTGAGGTTTTGCCTGTAAGATTTAATTGAGTGCTCAGGGATAACGAGGTAAGCGAAGAGGGTTCACTAATATATGCCTCGTCCATAGGTTTGAAAGAGACGACCGACCAAAAGGATACAGCCCTATTCATGGTGCCCAAAAGTCTTTAAGCGGATATTCTGACTCACTACCACACCAGTTTGGAAGGCGATCACTTAGTTGTCGGACTTATTTACCACCAGTTTGGCGGTTCTGCCATTGGAGGGGTCTTTTTCAAAGCGTACAGAGAAATGTGGGTACTTGTGTGGATTGTGAGATTGGGAAAGGAGAACCCTGCAGGACAAGACCCCGGGAAATGTCGAAGCAACATACCCTTTCCCGATTGTAGCGATAGATCATATTTTCTCTCTGCCCAGGTCGCATAGAGGAAATACCGAGTTACTAATTTGGGTTGACCTGTTCACGGGGTATGTGATGGCCAAGGCTAGAGCGTTGCAAACGGCCCAGACGGTAGCTGAAGGGCACGAAGAATGCGTTTTTTGCCGTTTTGGTGCTAGCGAGGCAATCCGCCAAGATCGAGAACCAGGGTTTATATCGGATTTCTTTCGGGCGTTTAGTCGCATGGTGGGCCAGAGGCAACAGGCTACCATGGCCTATCGACCTCAGGCGAATGGACCGCAGAGAGGATAGTTCAGACCCCGATTAGATCCATCATAATGTATGCCGCTGATGTCAGACAGCAGAATTGGGACGAGTATGCAGAACGACTAACGTTTGCGATGAACACCGCGCAAGACGAGTCCGGAAGTATACGCCATTCTATCTAGTCCATGGCTGTGATGCTAGAACCACCCTCGAGGCTACGTTACCTGTGGTATATACGCGACGTCCGAGATCTGGCCACGCAGATGGAGAGATCACATTCAGCAACACTATCAGCGGGCGAGAGCCCAGGTAAATGAGAACCTACTAGAGGCCAGTCAAACTCGGATCCTAGCCATAATGAAGGGGTGGTCGACCACAAGATCCAGCCCGGAACACAAGTGTAGCTCTACCGTGGACATTGAGAGGACGGTCACCTATGTCTCGCCCGTTATTCCGCCGAGTGCTCCTCCGTCTGTGATGGGTGGTCCCGTTGACACACCTCAGGTGCTGTGCAACCTAAACGACCGTTTGGACGCGTATAGCCGAAGACTTGAGGTGTGCGAAGGTCGACCTACCGCCGTCCTTTCCTTCGACGCCTACTGGACCACCCGGTGTGAGCTCCTCAAAAGAGAGCTGCAAGACACCAACCACCTCGTGGTTCAGTTGCGAGAAGAACTCCAGCAAGAGAGATCGCTGACGGAGCATTTGCGGTGGCGGATGGACTACCAACAGAGCCGCTACACCCTCATGATGGCGGCGTGGAGCACGAAAATTGCCGCATGATTCCATTCAAGGATCTCGCGGCTCCTCCCGTGACTGCTCCCGCACCGCGGTGACGGGTA